GCAATAGATTCACTTAGCTAATTAATCAATGTAAACAAGAAACGGCCACAGACGAATAAGTGCGGGTGTTCAATAAATAGCCACATAATTAAAAGATTTGCGCATTTACCAAGCTTTAGCCACCACTCTCCATGAACTATCCATGCGGAAGTCGTAAGCAAATGTGAAAGATACATTTGCGTGTACCTAATAACAGACGCTAAACGAAAGCATTGCGGTTAGCTCCAGCCACAAAATAGATGAAAAAACAAAGGTAAATTGAAGAAAAAATGGATTAAAAATGAATTTATTTTCCAATGGAATAAAAACCGCAAACAAAACATCTTAATAAAACCAACAAAAGTAAAAACAAAGGCACAGCCTCTCGGATCGAGTTAGATTTATAATATGGATAAAATGACGCAGACGGAAGCACAAAAGCACACAAATTACACACAGTCAACTTGTGGCTTATATAGACAAGTACATTCTGTTAGATATATATATGTATATGTATGTATGTAAGTATATATTTGAAGTACGGGGCGATACTGTCTAATGTGCGGCACTTTAATCAAAAAGTATTTATAATTGAATTGTAGCATAAGTTTTGCTGAAAGATTATGCCAAACATCAAAGAGATTTCAGATAATGAAAATTAAGACATGTTTTGTACATGCCACATATGTATTTATATAATGCGGCCAATGCTCGAAGTCAAAGATTAATGTTGAAAGCAGAACAGATAAATAAAATAAAAAATGGTAGTGAAAAAAACACATTGACAAAGCAAGGAAGTGAATAATTGTTGCTGGGCTAAGCAGTTACAGACATGTACAGATTTATTTGAAGTGGGAAAATTATATTTAAAAATAAAGTAAATATTGTTGACAAATATTTATATTCTTATAAAAAATATATTTCATATTTTTTTTATTTTCGATTTTAATTCAAGTATTCACTTTAATTTTTAAATCAATTGATTTGTAACTTTAATTATAATTTTAAAATAATTTAATATATCTATTTTTTTTTTTAAATTTATAGACTGTTTTAGTAGACTGCCATAGTAGGCTTACTTGTTATGCTGAATTCGTAGCTGATGTTTCTTGCTTGCTACTAACAATTTTTATAGTTTGTTTCTTAAGTCTTTAATATTTATGGTACATATCTGTCAAGCTGACGCATTTTCCGACGCGCTCCTGCTTCTGTTTTGTGTTTGAACTGAGAAAATTCAAATGAGAACAACACACGAAAAAAAATTGCACGAATGTACGCCAATTATGCAAATCTTCGAGTCCAACAAGTGAATTGCAAACAAAATAAGATTTGCATATCGGTCAATTGGTGCACGATTTTTGCTGTGCACGCGCTCAAAATAACAAAATGTTGCCCGATGACTGTGAAACACATTCTTCTTACCTGTGGGCTTTAAATTGACAACTTTTTACCAACATTATTTTATATTGTAATTTTTCGACGCACTTTCAATGCCACTGTTAGACGCCTGCACAAAATTCCGTATAAAAATAAATATGGCTAAGCACTCCGCCCACACATTGTAGCTATTTTTAAACAAACAAATAAATCATTTGGCAAAAGCAATAAATGAATATATGTATATCGAAAACAATTGTGCGTATTAATTTGTCATATGTAACACAAAACCTAAAAGGACGGATTAACCTACATAAAAAATATTTTTGGGCAAATTTGTCAAGTGCTACAATTACGCATCACAATAGTATGCAAAAAATATATGTACATATATCGCCCCAACCCAAAGTCATATTCAACCACACGCATACAGAAAACATACTTTCGTTTCAATAATTATGGATCATAATTTATCTTTTCTATTTGTATTTTTGTAGTTTTTTGCTTCAGCAGAGTGAATGTCAACAGCAAAACTTAAAAAAAAATGTTTAAAAATTACTTGCAAAAGAGAAAGAAAACTATAATAATATTGTTATATGCACTGACCTTCGCAATATCTGGCTTTGTATATGCACATAAAACGTCCGCTACAATTCCAAGTAGACTTGAACGTCTCTCACGTCTGTCAGTGGCTCCAGGTGGTCATGTGGTTTTTGTGGTTATCCAGTGAACTAGGCCAGAACTTGGCCACATAACAGGGAAGTTGTACGGATTACATTCTCTAGTGAGAGCATATTTAACTGTGAGTTCAGTTAACTTCACTGATTTATTTTACAGCTCTAATCTTAACTTAGACTAAAATATTTATTTTCTGAGGATTACTTAAATATTGAAGTGGGATGATGTATTTTTGGTTATTATTTAATTTGCTTCCAATTAATTATAATTCCTGGGAATCTGAAATTCAATCGAAATTACTTTTTTAAATTCAAATATCTCTGGGAACATTTATTTGAAATTATTCTTCTATCTTTAAATGAATTCAGCTATTTGTGTAAATAAAATGGAAGACATTTAGGTATTTCTAAAAAAAATTAATAAAGTTTTAAGAAATGTTGTAATTTTTGCTGCCCTCTCACAGTTCACACAGATTTCGGTTTTTAACCAAGAAATTATTGAAAATATTACATATAAAACGCAAAATGAATTGGGTGAGAAGTGAAAACATAGTCTTAAGAAAAAGAAAGGGATCAAACATATAGCCAATTTAGTATGTTTTTCATATACACACACTCTAAACCTCATATGAACTTGCCCCTATAATTTATCTAAATAGTCAGGGTGGCTAACGCATAGGCAGCAATTAATATACGTTCGGTCGACTAATGTATACAACTTGTATAAATAATGCATGGCTGGTAGTAACCTTTGGTGATGACGTTTCAGCGATAAGGCATATAAATCAAATCCAACGATTAGGCCAAAAACAAACAGCCAGGAATCCAACGGGAAAAATAAATTGGCAACGCTGTGGTGCACAGCACTCAGCACTTATATTTGCGCATCGAATGAGGTCTAATTATACATAATTGCGAATAATTAAAATTTAATTAATACAATCAAGAGCTGCTCACACACAAACACACTGCGAGTCAGTAAGCAACAGAATTCAAGCCAAAAGTAAAACCGGCAAAACGTGTCCACTGCAAATGTGAATGTCTTTTGGCCAAGTTGCGTGCCGCATTCAAGAGAAAGAGAGAAATATTGCAACAAATTTCAAGCATTTTCTTAGCAAGTAATAATAACAACTTTAATTTCTAGCCAAGTGCTAAGGAGACTAGCACAACGCATATGGCCAAAGCCGAAACGAGTGCAAGTTCAACGGCAAAAACGAGTTTCACATTTTTATTATTTTATTTGATTATACTTTTGTGCTCTGTTGGCCAAGTCGCGGCATCGTCATCGTCATCGTCATCGTCATCGCTATCGCCAACGCTGCGGACAGAGAGCCGGTCCGCATATGAGGAAGCTAATGCCTGAGCAGCGGGCAACTTTGCGCTCCACACGCAAAGATCAGCGAAAAAAAAAACCAAAGAAAACTAAGTAACAGTTACTATTTAGCGGACCGGCATTTGTTTGCCGCCTTGCCTTGCATAAAATATGCAGTAAAATTGCTTTTCTTTCAAGAATGGAGCGGAAGGAGGGGGTCTGCATCGAACTAGTGCACAAAGTGGGTCTGGGACTGCTTGGCTGTGTGCTAAATTCGGTTGATTTTTTTTACCAAACGGTTGTTTCAATGTTAATGCAGCTCCAACACTTGTTTTGACGGTGCTACGGACAGCACAGTGTGGTAATGTTTAGTTGCTGGCAATGAAAAACATAACTGTTACAACACATAGTAAGCCAAAGTGACACAAGTTTCTTGTCATTAAAAAGTCATAGTACAAAATTGTCCTAAGTTATTTGCATAACTATTTGAAAAGCTATTCTTTGTATTTTTATTTTAAGTATTAAATCGTTCGTCGAGCATTTTTGTTAAACTTTTATTTGTGTCTGTAGGATGACTACACATACAAGTTTGTGCTTTCTGGAAATGTAATTTAAGTACTCTTAAAGTAATATAAAATGAGAACAGGTTTTATACAAACAGTGAAAATTAATACTTGCAAAAGTGAATGCCGATGTAAGAATTATTTGTGGTTTGTAAGCATCAGTTAGTTATTTATTTCTTAGCTTCGAAGCTATGCTGAGAAAGTTAGCTCTGTTTAACGCAAAAAATGTACAAGTGGAACAAGTAGAAGTATACTAAAAAGCCACTTGTTCCACTTGACTTACAAAAAAAATTGATGTGTTTAAATTTAGTGTTATTATTACTATTATATATATACTATTATATATATATGTTTGTTTTTGTAAATAAAAAAAAAACTTCTATATCATATACATAAAAGAGTCAAATCTCTGTAGAAAAATATATAAATGTACACATAATTTGAAATGGATTAGTAGATTCTAAAAGGTAGTTCCAAACATTCACTAAATTGTATTATGTAGGATATATTTATAAACTTTTCTCATAAAATCGCCAAAAATAACTAAAGATAATGTTTAAGCCACTGTCATTGTTTGGTTGGTCACCTTTGCGCCAGACAAATGTCGTTCACCACGATGCGGTGCGCGAAGAAAAAGAGAAAAATGATGTTCTTGCGCAAGTTTGACAATAATAAATGGATGTATGTTGTTATTGCGACAAGTACTGGTGGCCAGCCGTTTCTACGACTGTGTGCCATCAAAAGTAAATTAAATTAAGTACCTTAATAAACACACATACACATAGAAACAGAATTGATGGTAGGCCAGGCGGAAATAGACTGTGACATCCGCCGAGTGCTGAGTGCTGAGTGCTGACAGCACCAAGAGGCAGTCATGGTTGAAATCAGCATGAGTCGCCTCTGGATCTAACATATCCGCTGGACGTCGACCGCAAATTTAATTAGAAATCTGCACGGGTTTGCCTGCTAGCGAGCTACCAGTTCAAGGCACCTAGTTTCCGCTAAAAATAATAAACATTTTCACACCTTGCAATACAATTATAATAAATGGAACTAACGAAATTTCTTTCTATTCTGCTCTTGTCATTTCAGTACACACACAGAAAGCCACTCACATTGCTCAAATTAGACCGTGAAAGCAGCAACAACAAGAAATATTCGTAATAATAAAAATATAAACATAAATAAAAGGAAAACGCCAGCAAAGCGTGCAAAGGGAAAAGCAACGAAAATTATCATAGTTAGCATAGGAGAAGGAAGAGGGGCAAAGAGTAGGCAGGGGGTAGACAGTAGCTTGGCTAAAACGGTCGAGAAAATTATGATTATGATGTTAATAAATTAAAGTTGCCATTAATTTAGTAACGCAAACGGCTGTGGAAGGTAGCCAGACGGTAGCATAATAACAATAAATAATAATTTGAAATAGGCGAGCGAAATAGACACACACAGAGAGCAACTTCGGCCTCAACTGGAGAACTGAAGCCAGTGCATCGGCCCTCCAACCACATACATATATATACAGATCCAAGAAAGAGCAGCTCGAGCGCGTCGAGCGTGCAAATTAAAAGCGCACAGTAGCTCGAAGGAGCCGCTAAAAGAAGAAACTATAAAACAGCAACATGGAAGTGGCAACAACAAACAATCACAGTCAGAGCCATCATCATCATCATCATCATCTTGGCAATGGCAGCGCAGCTGTCGGCGTCAGCGCCGGTTCCCGTTCCCCATTTCAGCGTGAGGTGCGTGAATGGCAGCGCATCGATCCGGACACTGGAGCGCTGTTCAGCGGCCGCTTGGAGGCAGATCGCTGGATAAATGGACCACTGAACAGTTATGGCAAGGTAAGAAGCCCATACAATCGATAGATTTAACAATATCACAACAGAATAAAAGCTGAGGCCAAAATGTATAAAACTAAGTATCTTTCTAAATATATTGGAATATTTAGGTTTGAAAATAAAGTTAAAGTAATAGATTTAAGAAGAAATAATATTTCTTAAATTGAATTATTGTTTGGTTTATTATTGATTTGTGTGAATAAATACATTTTTAAATTCAAGTCAGCAACAGCTATAACTTACAGTATCGATACAGCTGAAAATAAAACAATTACAAGTAAGAAAAGCAAAAGTAAGTTAGCCTGATTATCTCAAGCTTACATAATAAACGTCCCACTGTGTTAAGTGCGTTGATAGAGTTCTGATTGCTGCCTAGGTGGAGGCCTAATTGTTGTGGCTATTGCTTGCAGTCCATACAGTCTATAGGTAGAACTGGGCATGCACATCAAAATGAAATTGAAAGGCACGCTTCAAAGTGCATCACTCGAATTGTAGAGGCGTCTACTAACTTAGTGCACTCCGCAACGAACTGGGCTATCGACTGATTGAGCCTAAATGCCAGTTTGGTTAGCTGCCTTTCGATTTTAATCTGTTAATAGTTCATTTAGCTATCAAGCAGTCGATTGACGGCCGCAAAGGCATATAACAATAAGAGGATTAAGTGAACAACAAGTATTCCCACTTACACTTAAAGTGAACTATTGTGTCTTAAAATGATTAAAGTCCAAGAATTTAATTTTTATTCTTTAGCTAAATTAAATTGCATAACTTTATCATGAGTTGTTATGAAAGTGTGCTTATAATATACAATAATCACTTATATATAATTAATGTGTGTGTTTTAATTAAACGGTGGAATATTCAAATAATAACAGACTATAAGTTATGATTTTCAATTAATAATACTGATAATAATAATATTTGAAAATTATTAATGCTTCAAAAATATCAAATAATGATAACATTAATTATTTTAGAGGATATTAAATATTAATTTAGAGTTGAAATCCATCTTTTTATAATAATTTCATAGAAAGTATCTAAATGGCTTGGTTACCTCTCTCCCTGTCGTTAGTTGATTGCAATTAAGATTTTACTGTTTTAAGTTGTACCAGAAAATATCCATTGATGCCACTGGGCATGCCGCTCAAACCGTTAAGCTACGCATAGCGAAAACTTTGAGAGATATTTTTTATTCTGACGCTTTGCGTTTTTGTGTCAGTTAACTTATCTACGCCGGCAAGTAACTGCATCGACTTTGACCAGCTCCACCGGGGCATAATTAACAGATCGCACGCACGAACTGCTCAGAGATACAAGATATACACGACTGTGCCACTTATTAATCGATTTGCCAGCCACAAGTTATAAGCGAATGAATCTTTCGCATTTATAAACGCCAAGAAATAGCAAAACAGATGGCCAAGACACTTGAATAAATTTGAGCAAGTGTTTATTTTGCTTTTGTTTTGATTCGCTTTTGAACCTTTGCCTTTCCGAACACTCTCTCATACACACACATACATGTATATTTATACAACCAACTCGCAGTTAGTAATTAATGCGCCCTCTTCAGACTTCACTTGTCTTTGGGCTATGCTCTTTTAGCTTTGTCTTGCCATTGATTGCTCTAGAATTTGTCGGTTAATTATAATGGCAGACGGGCCACAATTTTATGCTTGCTCATTGAGAGTATCGAGTACCTCCAATGACGAATACTAAGTGCCGACCACCGGAGCCATCTCATCTCATGAGTCGTGCTTGCGGCCAACTTAAGTTCACGCCTCAAGTGTCAAACAGCGGCAAAAGGTTCAGCAATTCGAGCGTATTACACTGGAGACTGCTAGAACAGAGTTACTCCGAGAAATAAAGTGACATCATTTGGGGCTACAAAACTACATATACTGAAGACTGAATCAATTTAATAGTTCTTGGCAAATACTAAAAGCTTAATTTGGATAAAATCAAACTGAAAAAAAATTAATTATATATTTAGCACAATATAATTTGAATTGAAACTAGGTTGTTTCGTTCCTCTAATTTAATTGTTCTTAGTATTTGTAAATGACAATACCAAAAATTTAATTTAGATTAAATCAAATTGGAATAAATTAAAGGAAGTTGGGTATTCTTTTGTTGACCCGTACATTTTTATGATTGGCTGAATTTTATTGTTTAATAAAATTGAGAGAGACAGAGATTTAACATTGCTTAGTGCAAATTAAATAACCTGAATAAAAAATTATTTAAAATTCCAAGTAAAATTATGTTCATGAATATTTTATTATTGATTTTAAATAAATAATAAATTAGCTTTATAAACTAAATTTAGCTTAGAAAACAGAGCTTTAAAAGCTACCCAATTACATGTAGATATTTTGCAGAAAAAACGACAAAACTCAATTTTAAATTTATTAACCATTTTCACCAATTCACTATGTTATTATCCCAATATATATATATGAAAATATAAGTATTTTATTGAGCTTTTGGCCGTATCATCACTTGGGCAAATTTCAAAACATTTCTCTGCCAGGGGTACCAATAAAGTCCGCCTTTGTAAGGTCCATTGAGATTGCTACAATGAATAACAGAAAGATAAAAATAAATAGTATTGAAAAGTAAAAAACATTCAAGTATTTACCATTGATAACAGTTATTGAACCACCAGCCGGAACTATTTTCATCTGCACAATTTCTATTGCTATTATCATTATCATTTTCATATGTGGAGAACTTCATGTTCTTATGATGAACCATTGCATCTCCAGCGTTGCCCGAATAAGCACCAAGAGTCGTGATCTCAAATGAGGCGTCGTCATTCGCAATTGCAAAATTATCGTATCGTGCAAATCGGGTTTCGTTATCATAATTCTGCAGATATATATACAATTCGTGGGGCTGAGACTTGGTTATCAAATGTAGTTTATCGAGCCCCATAAAGAACTCTCCTCGCAAATCACCGAAACCCTGTTGATAATCGCGCCAGTTTCGATTAAAGTTAACACTGCCATCGATACGACGCAGGATAACGGACCAACCTGGACCAGCTAACGTTGAGTCACATGCCACTTGAAAGGATTCCGAGCCAGGAACTTTTAAATCTTGCACATCAGTCGATTTGCATAGACAACTGGAGAATTGGCATTTATTGTTCTGCAACATCAATTCGGATAACTTCTTCTCCAGCTGATCGATTTTTTCTTGTTCGCTGATTGTTTGTATTCTAAGCATGGAAATTAATTCATCCTTATTTTCGAGTTGTGTTTCCAGTGCAGATATTTGACGCTCAAGACCCAATATAGTTTTCTGAAATAAACAGATTAGCTTACAACTGTAGAAAAAAATGTCAGTAAAACTTACAACTCTTCCATTTTCAGCACTAACTACACATAAGAAAGTTAGCAGAAAAAATGTTAGTGAAATTAAATATTTCGACATTTTCGAAAACGAATTCAGGAAGATTGTACCGTCTCGTAATCAAAACAAATCGAAACTAATTCTTAGAACAGACTAAGCGTTAAATGCTTTTCATTTGACTTTATAAAAGCTTTCATAAGTGAATTCGGGTTCAAAACAGTTTCGACCTTCAGCTATTGAGCTTTGTATAAATTATTGGAGACTTTCTATTGTACATAGTAAAATAATGCATATTATTTAAAAGACTTGATCTAATTGATTTGCATGAAACCTTTATCGCATTACTCAACTATGCATTAAAAGATTTTATTTCTTAAATATACATTTGCTGCATACTCATATGTATTTAGCAAATTAGAAAATAAAATGTAAAAATTATTTATAACATTAGCGGTTGCTTTGTTGTAATTTATAAAAATAAAAAAAATAAATAAATATAAATAAATACATATATATAACAATAAGATACACTTGCAATACCTACAATACAAATCGGAATGAATAAAATGTAATTGTAGATGTTATTCGATTCCTTTTTGGCTTGTGTTGAATAATTGATCTTCATTTTCTAAAAGCGTTTAAAAATATTTTGCTTAATTGGCAAAATTACAAAGACCTTTAGCTGACGATTGTTACATACACTCACTCTGAGTTCATATGCCCTCTGCATTTACATGACAGCTGCAGGGTATGTTTATATAGAAACTTGCTGAAATTTGTGTCTTTTTTTGTTTGTTTTTATGCCTAACTTATCGCGATTGAACTTTGCAGCCACTGCTGCTGCTGCCGCTGCTCGAAGCGATCAATAGAATCGAGAACAATCAAAGAAACCCCTTGAAAATGAAAGAAGATAAAGCTGAAGTTAAGGAACGACGAGAGGTTCGAGCTATTTCAGTGGTCAATTTCAGTTTAAATAGTCGCGCAGTTCATTTGATAGTGCGGATTTATATCATGATGGAGAGAGGGAAAGAGAGAGAGAGAGAGAGAGAGAGAGTCTATTGACTGGTTATCCCGCTGTGTCTGTTTCTGTTTCTACCGACAAAGTCAAAGGCAAACTTGCCGACAGAATTCAATTGAGCAAGTTTTGATTTGTGGCACGGAGCATCCAGACGCATACCCACCTTAGAGCAAAACTCAAGCTCCAAGCACCGTTAAAGAACTACGATTGCTTCATTAATATTATGGATGGTTGGAAAAACAAATTTACATTTTACCGGAGCGACATGCAGCATTTCAATTTGAATTATTTTTACCAAAGCTGGATGTGGTGTTTAAGTTGAACTTGGAGTTGGAGTTGAAGGAAGACAAGAGTGCAGTCTAACGGTACAACAAAAAAAAACAGCCGCGAGCAAGAGACGACTTTTGTGGGTCACTAGGTTGCCAACAGCCTCGTCTAAGATGTGTCATCGAATCTTGCAGCGTGGCCAGCTCTACTAGCAGTCGTTTGAGCATTAACTACTACTACTACTTGAATGGTATGCAACTAATTCAGGATGTTAATCAACGTGTCTCGCTACAATTAAGCATCACCGGTTTATAATTTCCTGAACACAACACAATCAGATCAGATCCACACGTATAGTTGTAATACAATGCGTCTGGACAACCCACAACTTGGCCATGAATCGGTCATGAGCAGAAGGGCCCACAAATGATTTATTCGATTTAGTCATACGAGTACTCATACTCGAATTCATACTTGCACTTAATGCTAGCTCATACATACATATATGATGTGCTCTATAGAGATATAAAGGCAACGAGATCGTGACAGAAATAATGCATATAAAAATGTGTATTATTAACGCAAAGCTTGGTCTTTCCAGCATGGCCAACAAAATGGCCATTGTTAGGTAAAAAGCAATTTAAAATGCACCACAGTGGGCACTACTTGAAGAGAACCCCTACAACATTTAAATAGTACAAATAATAAAAGTAAAATAAAAATAATAATAATTTGTACAATTAAAAAAACACTCATTTTATTTTAGGTAAAATTATATATATATACATAAAAGTAAATTAACCACAGGTTAAGTTTTATTTATTTAATACCAGTTTCTAATAGTCAAAATGGGGTGAGCATAAATATTAAAAATTAAATGACGCAAATTAATAAATAAATATATTTTTAAGAATTAAAAATTCAAATTGCATTACAAAATCCTCTGAGGTACAAAAAATAGGAAGTGTACAATAACTCCCAAATTTAGTGAAATTTTAAAATGTGCAATTAATTTGTAAGCACTTCGTTACCACAGTGCAGCCAAAGTTAGTGTCAGCTAAAAATAAAAAGAGTCAACGCTTTGGCATGTCTATGCAGAGATCTGTACAAGCAACAGCCGCCATGAAAGGCGACATGCATGCGCAGACATGGAGCATATGGCAGACCAAAGACAGAGAGATAGACAGAGGAAGAGACAGAAAGACAGCAAGACAGTAAGACGGAGCAAGCCAAGAGCTGAGATAGACAGTCAATCTTATGGCGAGAGACAGCCACAAAGACGACGATGTTGCGGGCAGCATCATTAAATTCGCTTAAAGCATGGCTCGGGCGAAAATATTTTGGCCTAGGCCAAAGCTAAAGCCAAAGCCAGTGTACGGAGCAGGGGCAGAGACAAAGGCTGCCACACGGCAGGCAACAGCGTCTATACCGACTCTACATCATCACGACTTTGGGCTCTTGCGCACTTGTAATATATGCGCGTCCCTCCTGCATTTTGCAGCTGCCGCATTTCATTGAACCTTCAACTTGACTTTGAGCCCAAAAGCAACAAAATCAGCAACAGCAGCAGCCATAAAGCCATTGAACATTTTTCAATTTGGCTGCGGTGAGGAGCGCGCGGAATCTCTTTGGCTTTATCAGTCGGGCAGCCAGCCGCATGGGGGCTCAAGTTCGAGATCATGACACTGATTCACTGATTGTTTGGCCGTAACGAATTATATATACATGTACATTTTTATATATCTATTTTTTGCTCCTTTGATTGGAGCAACAAACCCCCCTAGGGTATGTGTGTTTGTGTGTGTGAGTTTCAATAGCCATGCAGATTGGCATAGCTTAATTAGCCTGGCAGCCAGAGCGAAACCAGGTCTGTCTTAGCAATAGACTACACTAACATATTCCAGCATGGCTGACTGGCTGGCTGGCCAGAAGGCTGGGAAAAAGAGGTCATCGATAGACACACATAGAACTGTAGACTGCTGAACAAAAAATGTACTACATGGCCAAAAGGAGATTTTAGACAATGTTTCTTCTGCGCTGTGGCGTGAGAAACTCAGCGACAGCGAACGTGCATTGCCTCAAGGGTTTGAAACTTTGCTAATAATTTATCTCTGCACAGCAATTGTGGCGGGTACATGTAACTGGTACTTGGTAACTTGGAGTACTTGGAGTACTTGGGCACTTGCACAGTACATCTTTCGTATTACAACACGAGTAATAAAGAAATCATTAAATGGATTGTAAATATTTGAGTACAAAATTCCATTTTTTATTTCAATAACTAAAAACAAATCCTGAAAAATGTCGATCTAACTGTTATTGAGCCCAGTTGACAAATTTACTGAGTCGCACTTTCGCAAGGACATATAAACTCGTTCCCATGAGCGCCAACACATTTTCTCGACTCAGCTCCATGATTAGTTAAATGTAATATACCAATGCATTACACATAAGACCAATCGTTTTTAGTGTGTCGGAACTGTTACTGGGACACTTGGTATGCATTCAAGGATAAGTGTGACTTTAGGAACCCGCACAAATTATTATACATTTGCAATCGGATAATACGGTTATCATGCGGTGACTCAGAAATGTGTTAACAGAGTCAAAAAACAATAAAAAAAATCTGGCAATGAATGCGATATTACAAGGACAGTGCTGAAAGTGATAGCCAGGATGGAGAATAAACTGATAATTATGTATGAGTCAAAAATTAGAATTTATATATATTCTTGATTAGTAAGCAGAGCTATGTGCTAACAAGCACAAAATAAGGCCTCCTAAAATCAAGATATATATATTCTTATATTTTTCCGTTTAGCCTAGAAGAATTTCGAATTAATTTGTTTTCTGATTTTAATTCTAATCATCGGTCTTATTTTTAAACTTTGAGTTCTTATTTTATGACTTAAATTCGTGACTTAAGATTCTGAAGTCTGGAATAAAAAGTGATTGAATCAACCTTCTTTTAGAATGTATTTAATTTTAGAATGTATTACTTTCTCTATGATACCTCTCTATGATATATTCTCTATGTGCGCTAATGCACAGATTAAAATTCATCTTGGCATCTTTTTAGATTACTGTATAAATATATTGGAAACATACCTAAAAGTGGACGTACGTTGATTACAAAATATAGTAACTTTTAAAAGTCAATAAAATATCATAACTAAATATGAACTATTATTGCTTACAAAAGAGACACATGAAAATATTTTAATTAAGTTGGAATACTTATTGTGGTTTACAATTAATAACAAGATAATAAAATTCAAAAATGCAATCCACTTATCTACCTATTCTTGGTGGCTACAATAGCATTATTAACAACAGTTCGTTTTAGTCAGAGCACAAAGCGTATGAGTCAATGCACAATAACCACTGACAGTATCGGTGGAATTTCTGTGGTTACATGAAACAAAGAACATTTGCACTCGACTTTTTGTTGTAATCAAATTTTATATATTTTCCATTGACTCAGCCAGTTGTTACTATTACGTAGTTGTTGTTGTGCATTTGCATGGAAGTAGAGCATTGAGAATGCATTTGATTTGGTCATTGACACGAATTTGCCCAAGTGAACCCTAATAAAAATTCGAACGCTATAAATCATCAGCATAATCGATTGCCACAATCGATCTTTTGGGCCACACAGCCGCACGTCGATAGAAAGATGTGTGTGTGTGTGTGTGAGTGTTTATGGCACGATCGAACACATTTGTAAATGGTTGCACACAATGAAAAGGGTGCAGTGGCTTCTATGCTCTTGCTGCCGGCTGCTTGATTTGGTCACGTGTGCGGCCAGCTGTTGAGATAAGAGTACAGCAAACAGTGGACATTCAAGTGCATTACCAAACAAACAAGCAATATACTAACAAACCTCCTCCGCCACCGACTGCTGCCCACACTCTGTTGCAAGTTATACATACATATGTACATGCAGCAGAAACACTCAAACGCCCCTTTCGACACACCTAATAAACTTGCATACAATTTTGTCAGACTCATTTGCACATTGCCTGTTAGGAGTATATACCTCACTCACAGTATGTATTTAATTTTTAAGTGCACACTTAAAAATATCATTAAAGTGCATAATATTCAGAAGTTTAATACCAATAAACAACAAATTCGACATGTTCATTTTTTTTTACTTTGTTGTACGATTTACAATTCACAAAAATTAATTTTAAGCACATTCGAAGCTTTTAAGGCATTACATTAAATGAAGAGAGAATTTTTTAATTCGTACTTTTTTAAACTTTGTGGACTGAGTAAAATCTGCATTATGTAAATAAAATAATTAAACAAATAATTAGAGAAATAACAATATTAAGCAAGTATACACTTTAAGAGACGACCGATTATTCTTTGGAAAGCTAGTGTATGTAGTATTCCTATGTTGATAATTTCTTGAGAACATCTTAGCATCGGTATTTTACTTGTTACGTGTGAGTCGTTTGGCTATGTTTTTAAACAAAATGTGTTTCACACAAAAACTCGTCTTTTCCGATACTGTATTTACAAAATTAATGTTTTTATGACTTTGATAGTTTTTATCAATTTCATTTGGTTGCTATCTGCAGGAGGTTGAATGAAATCAATACATTACAATACATATTGTCTGCTCGGCGATGAAACATAATTTTGGTCAGCATAAAACTAACGAGCTCACTTAAATCACTTGTTAGGAATGAAAATATGTTTAGAACACCCAAATTATAAGGCTAACAATAAACCCCTGGCGATCCCATGAATTTGACAGTTATATATGGAGTCAACCTGCATACGCCCCGTTGGCCATACCTACTAAACCATCCAAAAATCTTACTGACATACTAAAAATTCGGAAAAGAAAAATAAAATACAATTAATTAAGACCTTGATATCCAGGAAAAAAAAAAAACAAAACAAAAACACACACATAATCCTGCTCTCACTCAAATCCAACACTCTGTCTATTTTTCCCCCTCTCCCCATCTGATCAACATTGCAGATATCGGATTCACAAAATATCTCACAGCCGAATGGCACACAGCACATACAGCGCAAACAAATGGAGGTACTACGAAGCGCCAATGGTGCCATGCAGGTGATACGCACACAGACAGTACAAAAGACATCGTCCACATCCCGTTGGGCCACCTCCGCCTCCACTGCCACTGCCACTGCCACCTGCTCCTCATCCACAAGAACCACTCGCAGCAGAGGTTCGGCGCCCAAAGCGCTTTGGTCGCCTTCGTCCGCTCAAAGCGTTGACATTTGCGAGCTAAGCAGTGATGATGATCAAGATGATGATGATTTTGATAGCATACAGGGCGACGCTGGCGTCGTCCATGAATGCACAACTACATCAATGGCTAGCAATGGCCAGGAGCTGGTCGATGATCATGTTGATTTTGTTGTGATTAATGGCGACGATGATGATAATGACGACGACGTCTACCGTCTGCACAAGCTCGGCCACAATTTGTTACCCGATACAGCGCCCAGCTTGAAATTGAGCAATCTAATGGTAAGTTGTACCCACCCGCTTCCCTCCCCCCGCACTACACTACAACCTTCCCAGCCCTAACCCCCAGCCAGTTACCCTATGCTTGGCCAGGCTCCTAAATGCGGTAGTCACAGCTCTCGGCCCGTCATTACTCATGCGGTTCATTAGCATGCTGCGATGTTTGCTTTTCGTTTTTCTTCGCTTGCTTCTGTTTTGGTTTCCTTCTTTCGGCCATGGCAATGACCGAAAATGTTCAACTTGCTGGCTCTTAACGATCTGTCCATGCTTAACAAAAACTTCACTCGAGTAAATCGGAAAACGCGAGCCGTTTAACCATATATGATATTCATATAAATTACAAGTAAAGTAAAATGACAAACATAAATAAAGAAAGGATATAATTATGAAGTCATTGATTAACGCTTACTAACAAGTATAATTAAACTATTAAATATGTATGGCTGTGTAAATATTTCATTTAAAAAATTCAGAACCTTATTTAAAAATTCCAATTTTAAAACTAACTCAATTTTAGCAATATTTTTATTATATTGTATTAATATTATACATGATTATATTGAATTTAATTACTTTTATCTTTTATGAATTATTATATAAAATTTAAAATTAGTTAAATTATTTCAATTAAATGTTTAACTTTCTTAGTTTAATTTAATTTCAAGCATAACTTTGCTAAAAGCTAAGAAATAAACGTAAAAATCAATTTTTAAAACTCTAACACATTATATCTAAAAGTCTAGTATTTGCATACTTGAAAATGTAAAAAAAAAACAATAAAATGACAATATTTGTAAATTAATAAAATTTATAGAAAGAGAACGAAACGGTATAAATTCTGGAAAATTTTAATTTCTTTATGTTAAATTTGTATTGTAACTGTTGACACATTTTTTCGAAATACATTTTTGTAGTAAACTTTCATATATTAATAACGCTTATCAAGGCACACAATGTCAGCAAGCGAACAAAAATAAAGAAAAAGTCAACTCTAGAGTCTAGACACATTTAGTTAGCCATTGGCAATTGGCCAATCGTGATAGATCATCAGTTGGTAGATAGAGTTTGACAACCACGCTTTAAGTGCGGTTCAAATGAAGCGCCTGGCAACAATCGATTTTAATAGGGAAGCTTAGCTAAGCACTTAACACTTAAGCGAAATTTATGAACAGCAATCGAACCAATTTGGCAACCAGACATTTGGGTCATGACTACAAAGGAGATTCTAGCACACCACCGATGGCATGGCGAATATCGCCATGGTCATTAGGCGAACAGCAAAAAGTATTTAATTAGTGGGTAGCCAGTCGCAGAAAACGACGAAGCAGTCGCGACGTTCGAACCAAGCACAACGCCCACTCTTAACATGGCCAGGCCCATCAATCTTGACACGAAAATTTCTTTGTTTTGTACCCTTTCAAATGGGCATTGTGATGCCGTATTCCAGAATGAGCAGTCGGTCTATCTATTTGTTGCAGCACAGATGTCAGAGCTGTAGAGATAGAATATTGAATGTAGATAGAAGTATAAGATGAAAAACATTAAACGATTGATTTTCATAAATTAAAAAAAAAGTAAAATAAAATATTTCATGTGTCATTTAAGTGATGCATAACTTTAAAAGGATATCAAAGATAAAAGGAATACTTAAGACAATTTTGAAGGCACCCATTGCTTATACTTTCGGCCTTGATGGGACTCACACAGTATACTTAGTTGTAAAGTTTATTGTTTGTATAGATTGTTGCAAGTCGAACAGTATTGTCATATTAATAGATTAATATAATTTGCAATACAAGATACAAGATTTTATACATTTATGATATTTTATAATTGTTACCGATTTAAAAAAAAAAGTTATAAATGATTTTTAGTTAGTTACCCCTTAAGAGTGTCACTGCTTATTGCAGGCTAACTGCTAGTCGATCAATTTATTTCTTTAATATATTAAGTATTAAGATTTAAATGCTTATTTGCGTTTCTCGGAATTTATTCCGTCGCTTTAGACCACTGTAGACTTGTTCTTCCCATTCACTCAGCTAAGTCTCTCAGCCACATGCCAATCACAGCTTAAACGCCCATCATTCAATTTATACGCTTATAAATACGGAAATCCATTATCCAAGGCACATGTGTGCAAGCATATAGAGTTAAAGTGTGTGGAGCTTCCTTGTGAAGTTCCTGCAATGCACCCACACCAGAACAGCAACAACAACAACACTTATGCGTTCAAATCTGCTTTTGTTTGCCATTTACAGAAAAGCAGTTCGAGTATTTCCAGCCAAAGCAGCAACAACTCAAATTTAACAACTGCAACAGCGGCAACAGCGGCAACTGGCAACACCCACAGAAATGCTGGCAAAATAAGCCTACATGCAATTGTAGGCCAGAAAACAACACCAACAACATCATCAACGTGGCCCAAGCAGGCTGACTTATATGGCCCGGCCACCAACAGCAACAACAACAACAACAACAACAACAACAAGAGTCGCGTGGGCGTTTCAACTGAAGCTCAAGCTGTTGCTGCTGCTGGCGATGCTGACGTCGTCGCCACGCCAACGCTGCGTCGTGATTTGGAAAGTTTCCGGCATTATAACGATGACGATGCCATCGCCGCCGCCGACGACGCTGATGATTTGCGGTAAGTGCTGTGAATTGAAATTTTTAAAATTTTGTCTTATGTTCGTGGCATTATTTGATTGAACTCACATGTTGCAGGCTCAGCGCACGGCATCAGCGACGCCAGCAGGTGTCCCAATCCGTATATGCACCACCGTTGTCCGTCAGCAGCAGCAGCTTGCTGCAGCGTTCGCGTTCCATTTCAACGGATGATCTCAGCAACGATTGGCAACAGCATAAACAGCAGCTTGGCGAGCAGGACGACGAGGATCAGCCGTGCGGCGATTGGCGGCGGGTTAGCAAACTGCGTCGCTCATTTCAATCGCAGGATTATCACACAAGGACTGCTGCTGCTGCTGCTGCAGTTCCGCGACCGCGACCCCGTCCATTGGACTTGCCCAGCAGTACGGTTAGTGTGGCGCGCATCCGGGCAGAATTGGAGAACGGACGTCAGCTCAATACGGTGATGCGCAACAATCACACCGATCTGGCAGCATTAGACAACCTACTGAACACAACACCACACCAGACTAGCAACAAGCCGCAACTGATGAAGCGCTGCACATTTCTCACAGCCGAATCCCTGCAGGAGATACGCGGCAAGTTGAAGAAACTCTCTGACGAGAGCCTGTACAAGGACGACTTTCTGGCACATCAGGCTGTCACGAAGCCAGCAGCTGTTGAGGACTTGCAACGTCCGGAGCCAACAGCCTTGACTGTGGCACGAAGTGCCTTTCATCCTGTGCACAATACGCACAGCTTGGAGACGCGTCAGCGGCCCAAGGACACCAGTTCCAGTGAGTGGCATTTGCGTCGCAAATCGTATGGCTTTGAGAAAATGTCACCGCCCGAGAATCGCAGCATCTTTCGCGTCGATGCTTCTACGGATAGTGGCTTGGGTCGATCCGGTGAGCAGCTTGGCAACTGGTCGCCCACAGAGCGTTCAGCAGCAGCTGCAAATGGCCCCAATTCCACAATTATACACTTTGGACGCCAAAAGGAGCAACTACAGCAGCAACAGCGTCCTGCACAATTGGCAAGTCCCAATGAAACGGAGCATTTGAGCAAGCGACATTCGATTGCAGTGGAGGAAACTTGGCGCGATATACGTAAAACTTCGCAGGTAAGCGCCCAAAATCAAAATATCGAACCAATTGTTAGCATTGGCAATGTGGAAAGGTATTCTATATACCTATATAGAAGAAAATGTAGCTGAGATCGAATTTATAGCTTATGGCTAAGATTCTTTCCTGTATAATTTTAAAAGCATGTTGTTCACTATATTATTTTTTAACAAGACTGATCGTTGCAGTCGGGCGTAGCCAACTGCGAAATACTCTGATACCATAAGTAATACCTACTGATAACAGGCAGCAAAGAACTGGGTGGGAATAGGCAAGAAATACCGTCCAAATATGCCCTTCAAGTTGAGGTAAATATTGGCTTCTGTGAATTTTAGCGACGGGAGTGGGTGTGTCCAATTTTTACACTTTGTCTGACGAGGGCACAGACCAATATATGTTTCTGGTTTCAAGTCTCTATCTCTAAGTGTGTTGAAAAAAGTTTCGTTCAAGCAGAATGACAGACGGACAGACAGCATGACGGACATTGGCCAAAATTAATATACCATAATACCTTCAGTATCAAAGTTTAAAAATAAAAATGTTCGTTTCTGTGCATACTTCAAGCAATAAGATCTTCGAAAAGTGAATGGGTAATGAAATGGTATTATTATTAAAATACAGAAGGGTTTATTGTACTCTTAAGAACCAAAAAAATAGATTTTAGCTTCTAAGGATAAACTGTGATAAATTTCTTTATACGTATTTCCTCTGCAGCGAATCGAGTATCTTTTAATGTTTTAAATTCTTTCGCAGGTGCGCGTCAATGGTGAGCCCATCAATGGCATCAGCAGCAGCAGCAACAACAACAACAGCTCCAGTCAACTGCAGCGCAGTAGCGCACAGAAACGTGTAGAATTCTGCAAGACAGAGGTGCATTTTGCTGCCGAATCGGGACGCGTTAACATTGTGGAAACTGATGGCAAGCCGCCGCCCACGCAAAACTTTCGACGACGTCGACGCACAGCAAGCGGTCCGCTCCAGAGCCTGGTGAAGTCGGCCAGTGTCAGCAGTAGCAGCAGCAGCAGCAGCAGTAGCATCAGCTCATCGAGCAACAATGGGACCAGCTTTGGTGACGGGGCCAAAAAGAGCATTGCCTCCAGCACGGTGACATATCGGGCGACGCTGATGGAACCACCGGAGCTGGTGACACAGCCGGTCGCTGGCACGCAGGTGACGGTTATAACCAGCACCCCAAAGCCATTGGTGGAGCCACGCTATAGTCTGCTGGAGACAACTAGCTCCACATCCAGACTTAGCTACACCTCCACCAGCGGGGTCGACACAACGGACAACGAAACAGACGAGCTGGCCAATATACGTGGCATACTCAAGAATAAGCCGGTGAAACCCAAACCGTATCATCTGGGCGATAATATTGAGAGTGCCGATGTGCTCTGGAGTGTGCCAGCAATGGTAAAATGTGAGAACAGGGAGATCAGTCCGCCAAGTCGCGAAATTGGTGAGTATTTCGAATAGAGTGAGAATGTTTTATTTGGAAGTCTACAATTAATTAGAGTCTAATAATATTTTAGCAATTTTATAAAAGTGGATCAATATATATTTTTTAACCTTAAGGATTTTGGAAAACTCTAATAAATATAAGACGTACTAAGATTGTCGTTAAAGCCATCTTAAAATTCCCATACTTTAAAATAATGAGCTTAGCCTCCATGGATAATTTTACTTTCTCAAAATCTTATTTTCTCCACAAAAAGATGAAAATAATATTCGATCTAATTTTCTTAATCCTAGAAAGCTTTTTTCTTAAGATTGATAAAGGATTTAATATCACATAATACGTTGACAAATATATATTTTCAACTTAGAAGTCTTAGTCAACTTAAAAGTATATTTAAAAACTATTTAGGTACCATACATGAAGTATCCAGATATTTGCCAAATGATTAATTGAGAAACAAACTTCACTTTTTAGTATCAACAAAACTTGTGACAAATCAATCATTATATATTGATACATAAAAATCGTGTCTCTTTTCTGTTGTAGCGAGAACTCAATGCTTTTGTGAAAGCATTTGAAATTTTATTAGCCTCGGCATAAATCAATGGCCTTAGATCATTGCAATGATTATAATCTTAATTAAAAAATTCTACCAATTTGTAGTAATTATATTTTATGAAACAACATTTACTTATTGACTTCCCTGTTTAAACCACAGCTGCCGGCGACAGCCACTCACCGACAGCCACCAAATCAGTGGCTGAACGCGTGCGGATTGTGGAACAGCGCCAGTTCGATAAGCACCAGCAGCAGCCGTCACCTGCCGGCAGTGGATATTCAACGAAGATCAATGTGAGCCTTGGAACTGAGGAGTGGCCAGAAACAGGTTGGTATTTCGAATGGAAAACACATAAACCAAATATTTATCTAGCTGCTGTAGCTGTAGCTCGTACTTATTTTAATGTATTTTCTATTGATTTGTTTTGTTTTGTTTTGTCTTTGGCGGTATAGTAGTAAACTCCTCTACTTGTCTCTCAATTAGCCTTAATATAATCAATACTTGAACTCGTAATGCATGTCTAAGTCGTTGCTTTTACTTCGCACTAAGCCAATATTAAATACTACTCATAAGCTCACTACCTAATTTAACCCATGAATATAAGCAAGAGATACTTAATAGTATTGGAAAAAAATTAACTACGATTTGGACTCAACTTATTTCTAAATCATGTCTGAAATTTTGCTTCCAAAATATAAAAACATACATGATTCAACCCCCTACATTACAAGACTCTTTATTCATTTTGAAATACATTGAAATGATTTTTAGTGTATTTGTTGGCTCCCAACATTAATAATATAATATAATAAAAAAACAGTGAAAAGTGGAACATGGAATAAACAAATTTTCAGTCATGATTATATTCATTCAACCGCATCAAATCTCACCCCTAAAACTGCAGCTAACCCAAGTGCATAAAAAAACCAAAACACCAACAACATTTTCTCGCACATTTCCCCATCACAGGTGCCACCTCAGGTCGCCGTCGCAGCAGCGCACAGGAGCTGCTCCTACAGGACTTACGGGCCCATCAGCGCATCCTAGACGAGGGCCTCAAGTCCACATCGCTCATAATGAAAACAATGCGCTCCGCAAGCGAATTCGATGAGGCCATGCGCCGCTTGAGCATAGCCTCAATCGAGTCCGCACTTATCCAGCCCACAATTGTGGTGCCCACGCCAATGTTGCGCTCGCACAGCTATCAGGAGGAGAGCGCTTCCCGTCGCACCTCGACGACCTCCATAGCCAGCAGCGATTTGTTTGGCAGTGCATTATATGATTCATTGCCACGCATGCCGCTAGCACCGCCACGCCTTAAGCTATTGGGCAATACGCAAATACCTGTTAGCCAACAGCTGACGCAGCTGCGGCGTCTGTATGATGCCGCCGAACAGGAGGAGGACAGTGCCGACGAGGAGGTCAAACGCTATTTTCGCGAGAACAATAACAACAACAACCATAACAGTGATAGTGGTGGCGGCACACAGGGCAGCTCCTCTCCTGAGGATGTTGTGCTCAAGGGTAGCGAGTACTCGACCAGTTGGAGTCGCCTGAAAGCCAAGCGCACCATATGGAAGATTGAGGCACAAGAGCAAACGCTACAGCGGGCAGGTAATACCAAGTCTAAGGGTTCCAGGCAGGGTACAGGTAGAGGAGTTTATTGAGTGACTAGGAAATAGGCAGCTATAATCACTGCATTCGCTATATTTCCTTCTCTTTACGCTCCTTTTGTGGTTTTTTTTTCGCAGATCTGCCAAAGTCAAATGTGATGAATATTGCATTGCATGCTCCGCGGCTGCAGAAACCGCACGCAACAACGCCCACTCTACGCATTGGTGAGCTGGTGCCGGTGGCTAAGCCACGCACACTTCTCGTGCAACCACAGTTTACTGCGGACACCACCGACGAATCTGGCAGCGAATCCTTAAAGATTGTCAAGGAGGCACGCGGCGCACGCAAACTGCGAGAGCATGAGCTCTCCTATTTTGGTGTGCAACATGTGCCGACGACAACACAAACACCCAAATTACTAGCCACGCCCAGTAATCCACGACGCACGCTGCCTACACGCAGCAAGCAGATCCACAACGAAGAGGCAACCAATGCAACGACCACAACAACAGCAGCATCCGCAGCAACAACAACCACAACAACCAAGTGGCAACTATTAAACGATCGACCCGATTTGCTTAGGCATAGCCCGCAGGCCAACGAGGAATACAACGATTACCCGGAAGATGGGGAGCACTGCTACGAGAACATTGCTAACGAGCTAACAACCACTTTTAGGGTGAAGTCACCATCGCCCGGCAACTACGAGCGGAAGACAGACTTACAACGCGATGCCCAGATACTCAGCGAGATGACCAGAAATGCTGATCAAACATTGAAGGTAGACAATCAATTGTGCTCACTGACTAACTGACTGAGTGACTGAATGCCTGTCTAACGGATTGACTTGAATTCGTGAGACAGCAGCATCCTTTTCTTACATTCGTTTATTTTCCTTCCTAACTAGACATTTGGAAATTCCTCATAATGAGGTAAAAAATCAAGGGAAAACTGTTTTGATCATGATAACTTAAATTTCTTAGTACCAAAAAGCTACAGTAAAAAGTTATTTCGGATAATTATTGCTTATCCGCCTTATAATGGTGAAATCAAGGAGTCTGGATTCATAATATTTGATTCGGTTAACAGTGGACTCAAGAAGAGGAAATGTGTGATCTAGAGATTGTTCTTTGATAATATTTTCAATGTTTCTCAACCGAATGACTTCTTTATTTAAAACCTGAAAGAGCTTTTGGGTGGAGAGTTTTGATCTGCATACGATATTAATGCTTGTTTTACCAATCATTCCTGTAGGAAATGGCTAAAAAATTAATTACTATCTTAGTTTCGATCCGATTTAAGATCTAGGCAAAAATTAATTAGGCATAGTAATGGGGATTGTAAGGTTGTTAAATACATTTATAAACTTGTAATTATATGTTAATTAAAATGTGATATGTTCCGTTTTCAGGCATTGTCCGATGAGGCTGCCTTCAAGGATCAGCGACGACGTTCTTGCTCGCTGCAGCGTCGCATCGCCAAGCCGTTGGCCACCATCGATGAGAAGGTCAAGGCGCAAAACTGCGACGCTAAGGCGTTAAGCGTTGCACGCAGTACGTTTGCTTCGGAGGCGCGCCGCAATTCAAGACAATCGACGCCGTCGCCAACGAGAGCACGCAGCTCCTCGCAGTCATCCATTGAGTGCTGTCCACGAGACCGTTCGCGCTCCAGTTCGCGTGAGTCAATGACCCAAGGAGGCGGCTCATCCGATGAGCAATCGAGCAAGCAGCGCGTCGAGCGCCTACGCATGCGAACGCCCAAGCGTGAGAAGTCACGACACGAGCCCGCAGAGCAGCGCTCATCCAGGCAGAGCAGCAAGCCACGCAGCGGCAACAGCTCAAATGCGGCGCCAGAGAGCAGCAAACGTTTGCATCACCACAGCCGAAACAACCGAGAGAAGGAGCAGCACTCACATCACTCAAGCGAGCAACACTCGGGCAAGCATAGCTTGAGCTCGGTCTCTGGCTCAGGCGGCACTCGTCTGCTGCGCTCCTCGCGTGTCACCGAAGAGAGTCGCCCGCGCACCAGCTCGCAGCGCACAAGCGAACGCGAGTGGGAGCGGGAGCGGGAGCGGGAGCGGGACAACGAACATGAAAGGGGAAAAGATCGTGACCGTGACCGTGATCGTGATCGTGAACGTTCCCGTGGCAGTGAAAAGCATCGAGAAGAACTCTCGCGCTCTCGTGGTAAGTTCGCAGCGGTTCAAGTGTGAGCTGAATTCTACTCTATGCTATATGCGTACATGCGTGTATGTATCTATTGCAGAGCTGCTTGTTTTGGGCCTGCTAATAATGGGTGCCACACAACCACCTCGGCTACGCAAACGTTTTAGGTTAGCTACGAGTTACAAGTTACAAGTTAGCCATGTGCCAAATCACAACTTTATGGAATGGCTGTTCGAGGCTTTTCCACTCTTCTTCTTCTTCTTTTTTATTATTGACCATTTTGGCACTCGTTTTATTCACCACACCGCAGTACTGGGAATGAACAGAGCAGAGAAAGAGATGCATTCGAAAGAGTTCTTTACATTTTCTTATTATTATTCAATGAAATGAAATCAAACAAGCATAAATATTTAATATCTATTAAACACTATTGGTAGTCTTTTCTTATTCAGTCAATACAAGTAGACTCTAATACTATTTATACCTTTGCAGAAGGGTATTTCTTATCGGTCTCCAATCCGATAATGTATATATAATCTCTATAAGCATCAAGCCAAGTATAAGCCAAGTCGATATTGCCGTGTCCATCTGTCCGTTCGTTTATTCTACACGTAACACTTAAATCTTAGAAAAAATATCAAATAAATTTATAGGCAAGAATTCAACTATTTTTTGTACTACTCAGAAACTGAAAAGAATGCCTTCTGCGATGTTACCATCAGATTGGAACATAATTTTTCCAAATATGCTTTGACATAAGTCGAAAAACTTTTCATTCCCAGCTGTAAAACCAACTGCAAATTGACACCACTCATTCTGGCACATACACACACACTGAAACACACAACCAGTTAGTCTAAACACAAGATATAATAATCGTAGCTGAAACAGCGAATTGGTTATTCCAACTAACTGAAACATACAAATAAAACGCAATTCATCATATGCCATGACATTCCACACACAGGTCACTCAAGTCGCTCCAGACACAGTGAGCCCAGTTCAGCTGGTCACAAGTCGAGTCGAAGCAGTCGCAGCTATCACGATACAGCAACAACTGCACACAGAAAGTCCGCCAAACCAACAGCAACAGCAACAACAACAGGCAGCACTACAAGAGCTACAGCCGCAGCAAGCAAAACAACATCACATAAAGCATCAACATCAACAACAGCAACAGCTACAGTATCAGCAACCGCTACAACTACGGCACCGACAACAACAACACCGCACAACGAACTGACGTACGTATACGTAACGAATTTAGCCAATACAAAAACCAGCGAAGATGCAGACTACGCCAGCATTGATGAGGCAGTTTTAATGCCTGCAACAGTTCCGCTACCACTGCCACTGCCGCTGCCACTGCCGCCGCCGCGACGCAAGCGCAAGCAGTCGCTCATACCACTGCCCATTCAGAGTGCCACGCCCACTGCCGCCTACGAGCATCGCATTAAATTGGAAATGATACCAGCCACACAATCGAAGCCCAGCTACTCGAATCAGTCGACGCTGCGCTGCAAGGTTAAGCAGCCGCGCAAATCTTCGCTCAAGTGCACCCAATCGACGAGCTCGAGTTTCGCCTTTCTGCCATATTTGCCGGCCAAGCGAAATTCGAGCGTTAGCCATGTCTATGACAATTATCTGCTATACGCAGCGCCAGATGCACTCAAAGGAACAGCATCCAAGCTGCGTCCCTATCAGCACAACTTGAGCAATGAGCATGCCCAGCTCTTTGGCAGCAGCGGGCGTGGTGGAGCGATGGCTTCCGGTGGCAACGCTGGGAGCGCTTTAACTGGCCGGCTGGCCAGCTGGCCGAAGCGCTTGCGCATGCGGCAGGTGCGCAGCAGCGTCTCAACGCATCAGCCCTTTGGCATCTGCACATGTTCATAGTCAGCTGGAGCTGGAGCAGCAAACCAAAAAGATAGTCGCAAAAGGATAAGCGCAACCGGATCTCGTCACAGTCACAGTTTTCTCTCACGTATTTTAATATGTAGAACTCCTATGCACTCCAAAATTTCCTTATCTTTTGTTTTGGTCAGTTTTTCTTATTTGACTACTTCACGCACGCGAAAAAAAACTAAGCACGAAAATCAACACGAGATATTAAAAAAAAAATAGATATATATAAACATATTTATCGAAATGAACGATTCTGCAGTTATCTAACCTGTGTTCCCCACTAATAATACTACTTAAAACCCAAGAGGGCGAGAGAAAGAGAGAGAATGGCAAAGAAAGTGGAGAGTTTGTTTTTGTACTTGGAGCACACTCGGCAATGCACATACAAAAAAAAAAAAAAAAACACCCACACACAAAATGAATGCAAATGGTTCTGTTTTTACTTTTCACAGCGTAAGCGAATTTTCAAAATTTTTAATATTTTTTTGTAATTAAGCAAATGAAAGCATGTTGTGGGTGCATCAGGAATTTAGACGCTAACTTAAAAAACTGAACACGTCTGTAGAATGCTAAACTAACTTTTCACAAAAAAATTAATTAAATAACAACAGTCTCAACTTTTCTATGCTGAATACAGGCATTTTTAAAAATACTAAAATTGGTAAAGTTTTTTCAAAAATTAGAAGATTTAAAAATATAAAATATAAATTCAGAACAATATTTTTATGAATAATTTTCTTTTGAAATTTATTCAACAAATTAAAATAGTATTCACTTAAATGTAGTTCTTTTAAAATTCTTTTAAATATTAGAGACATAATATACTCAAAGCTTTAATTGCATGATTCTTAAAAACTAAACCTGCTTTAATTAAAAATGATTAATATCATCTAATGCTCTGCTCACACTCTACTTTGTAGCACTCTCTACCACACTTTAGTATTGATTCTAAAAACTGACTATGAACATGTTGCTGAAAAAAAATGAAAATCAAAACACAAAATATCATCAATGAAATTGGAAATGAACTGAATAGAAATAAACATCAACATCGCTCGCTCTACTCTATTTTCTTATGTACCAGAACACTAAAAGCGGTACTTTAGCTACTGGAACTACGTAGTGGATATAGCGCATTGGTGTACTCTATAAAAAGGATATGTTGTATATGTATATGTATAAAAACCAGTAGAAAGCATATTAAAAAGAAAATCAACGCATTTGAATATCAATTCAAAACGCAATGCTAATTAAATTAATTGTTATTTTATCTCCTATCGGCAGACACGGTAAAAGCACACTGAATGGACATCATCATCATCAGCAGCAGCACCACCACCACCACAATAGCAGTGGCAGCAAGCACCAAGCAGGACAGCCACCGCAGCACCATGTGCACACTCTGACCACGACGTCAATTGCTGCCACAAAGCAGCAGCGCGATCGTCATGGCAAGGATAGGAAATAGTTGGGAGGGAGGGAACCATTGGCAATGGCTAAATGAACGAAGCAACGAACACTACTAAAACTAAACTAAACAATAAACCATTTACTAATTATAATTAATATATTTAAATAGCGTGCGCTTATGATGCCAACTTTATGTGTATAAATCTGGTAATTTTTGAAATTTTTCACATGCTTACAGAAATTTCAAAGTAATTACTCGAATTGGCGAACAATAAGTCGAAGAAAAAACAGAATTTTTTGACTAACAAACCATTAACCATTAATGCGTGCATCTATCAAAAAATTTCCAAAAAGAAGTTCCTTCCGCATTCATACAAACATCTTTTATTAAATTTACACGCATAAATTCCAAATTCAAGTATTAACATTTGGCAGACCCCCACTACCTTTACTACCTTACTACTTACCCAATTTTTATTAAATAATAAATATCCTTTATATTTACAAATATTAAAAAACGCAAATCAAATAAATGTTAAAATAACAAATGATACTCATATATATTCTTCAATAGCTTTAAGTTTTATTATTTGCATATGCGAAGACATAAAAAATTCACTTACGCAATAATTTTCAAAACATTTTGCACAAAAAATTAGCTTATGTTTTTTTTTGTAAAGTCTTTAAATGCTACATTTCGATATATTATTATTTAAAATAAAAATGAATATTTTCTAAATGAACAATTTGGTTTTAATCTGAAGTTTTTGTTATAAGAATGAGATAAATGCTTGAGCAACTGAAACAAAAATTTTATTTACAATCCAGTATTTCATTCATTTTTTAAATAATCAATAAATTGAGACAAAAAAAGATTCCGGTCAATTTTAGCTTGAGCCTTTAATTATTGCGTATACATTTTCTAATGCAAAAACAATTTTTATCTAGTCATGTCCTTTTGAATAAAAGTGTTATTATTCATTGCTGTATATTAAAAGGCGAACTAATTATTAATGAAACATGTCTTAACTATAGATATGAAATTAAACGGAGCAACATTTTAAGAAATTTTAAGAAACATAAGGTGTAGAATATGTGACCATCTCAAAAATATAGGGTATGGAGTATCTCAGAATCTATCCGCAGACAATGCCCATTTATTTACTTATTATTACTTGTTAATGCTACAGTTCTAATTTTGTCAAGTACGTCGACTATTCGTGAAAGCGATTTTATCTTTTTGCCACTGCGACCATCTACATACATATGTAGGCAAACAATTGTATGTGCATATTTATGTATAGATTCAGCAATACTTTCGCTCTGGGTGTGGATATGTGTGTGTGTATGTATGTGTATGTATGAGTGGGTGTTGATAAACACTGTTGAGCACGGCGCACGTCAATGCGATTTTTAGTATATACGGGCAAATGAAGAGATTGCTCAGTTGTCGTCCAACCGTCGTTACCGACGCCACTTACATCGAGCTCTTCACGGCCAGACAAGTGAGTAGATACATATCAGAGAGCGGCTCTCACAGTGGAATAATATAAATAAACTGTATTTGAAACCTACACATCGATGATATATGGCTTAAATGATAATTATGATAACTATGATTCATTCGTTTTGCCGGCATGAGTCATTCTAACCAAATAACGATCAATATTAAATACGTGCACAAAGAAGGAACGATCAGAACGAAATAATCTTTGGGCTTGAAGAGATATGTAAACAGGTGTGCGTTGTACGACTTAAATTTGGTAACAATTAGCTTTGTTTTACTTTTGAGAAGTTGTTAAGTGTTGTGTCCAAAAAACACACGGAAAAATATATAAAATATAAATATATTGAGTATTTTATGTATTTACAAAGTTGATGTTTACACGATTGGCCATAAGCCAAATATATTAAATCTCGAAAATAATTCCAACACAAAATAATAATTAATTACAAATTTTTATTTTCATTACAATTACTTTTTATTTAATATAATAATATGAATATTAAGAATTACACACATTTATTGTTCCAAAAAAGTATTTAAGCGTCTAAATAAAATAGTAAACATTTAACTTAATATAACCTGTTAAGAATTCTAAAAAACATACTTGTTTTGTAACCATATGTGCTAAGTAAATACGGTAAAATGTGCAAAATAACTGAGCAATATTTATATATGTATATATTTATATGTAAAGCTATAAGGAGAAAATGAAACAACTGAAAACTTGCACAAAAAGTATATTTTTATATTGCTATACGCTTTAATAAATCATGATCTACATCCACCTAAGGCCGATAATATATATATGTATATATATGTATATATATATATACTGTTATCTGTTATCTTATCGAGCCAAAATTGAGTTTGTCTTGCCTGAAATTGCGGTCTGAGCAAAACCAATAACAACAGCAACAGCCAGTAGTATTTAGCTGACCATATTGGGCTTAAATAAAAAGTTGCCATATCATTTGTCGATAAGACAACACCATCTATTTTTTATTAGAAACAATGGAAGAAAAACTTCGTTGGCTTCTTTGGTCGGTTATTAACGTTTTGAATTTAATAAACGGCGGTTGTGTTCCAATTGTAAAGCTTTGCAGGTAAAGCCAACTGGTAAAGTGCTCAAGCTAATATTTAATTATCATTATTGTTTATATACAAATATTAAAATGCTAATATACACTTTTTTCAGACTTGTCAATAACTAGAAGTTCAACATGTCACTCCTAACAGGCAGCGCAAATGCGGTGAAATACACGCTATTTGGATTTAATCTGATATTTTTGGTAAGTACGTGAAATAGCCATAGCAGTTGAAATAACGATATGTCTGTGTCATCAGGCTATGCATTGTGAATGGAGTTAATTTTGCATTAGTCTAAAGTCTACTAGCGCATTCTCCAAATGTCAACTGTCATTATGTCGATATGCTACCAGACAGTAATCATACAGATAAGATAGATGGTGATCTAGAGAACACAAATCTGTTAATAGAGATACAACGGGTGTCTAGTCAGATGATTTATCAATATAACACGAAGGTGGGTTAAGTTAGAGGCAGAGAATGCAATACTTAATTGATATATTTCTACGAATGTGCGCAGTTAGTCACCTACACTCTTTAATCTACATTCATTTTGTTTTATGATCTTTTACTGATAAGCTTAGACATTGATTAATTTTTAAGCGACTTAGATAATGCACCCATTGTTTCTACTATTTCTTCTATTGCTTGGAATAAATAAGTAAAACTTAAAAAATATTTAAACATTTTAAATATTTTTCTTTAACTTTTAAATATATATATTCCGAATATTTTGATCTAAGCACACTACTCATATTTGTAATAGTCCCTTTTTAAGGTAAATATATATTTATTTTCTTTTTTCTAAAATATTTATTTATTTATGTAGTTTGGACTAAATCAGTCCACAATATATCAAAAGGGTCGTAAAACTAAAATTTTGAACTTAAAGTTAAAGTTACAAATTAAATAATGTAAAATTTAAATTGAATTTATTATATGTGTTAGCGGCATACAATTGTTTCTTCGTACAAAATATTTTCTTGTATATCTCACATATCTTATCTATGGTTTGCTTTTTGGCCTTTTAAGCTCACTTAAGCAATTAAGTCACATTTTAAGCATTATTTATATTATTTTTATAATATTTATCTATGATTTAATTATTTTTAGATCACTGGCATCATTCTTATAGCAGTTGGAGCTGGCGTTGGCGCCGTTTATACTGGCTATGAACTCTTCCTGGTTGGCAATTTCTTCTCAATACCAACGTTATTGATTGTGACTGGCTCGTTTATCATTCTAATAACCTTCTTTGGCTGCTGGGGTGCGCTGAAGGAGAACTATTGTCTCATCCTGAGCTTCTCGGTGATGCTGTTCATCATATTCATTCTGGAACTGGCTGGTGGCATTAGTGGCTATGTGCTGCGCAGCCATGCCTACGAATATATAGACACATCGCTTAAGGCATCGTTGAGTAAGTATTCCGCCTTGTCGCAGGATCCAACCACGAAACTTTGGGACAATGTGCAACGCGATTTCACCTGCTGTGGCATCACAAACTATACGGACTGGGAGCCTGTGCTGGGAAAAACTGATCTTCCCTTGTCATGCTGCTCGATACCCGTAGGCCAAGTGGGCACATTTACCTGCGACACTGACATTTACAACTTGAACTACAACGACGAAGGATGTCTGCTCGGCTTTTCCGACTATATAGCTGATCATGCGGTTAGTTTGGGTGCTGCTGGCGTCGTTATTGCCGTCCTTCAGGTGAGATTATTGTACTTTCATTATATTGATTTTTAGCTAATTTCAATTTGTGATTTTGCAGTTCTTTGGCGTCATCTTTGCCTGCTACATAGCGCGAGAGATCAAAATTCGCAATGGCATCACCGGCATTATGTAGACGTCTGTAATTGGGTCCACTGTTAAAATGGATGCAAGTCAAATTCATGGCCTGCAATCTTAGCTTACTCTTAAGTCACAATTGGTTCTTCATTTCCCGCTTTTCAAGGCTAAATTATAAAATATTTGTAAACGTATAACTTTATGAATAAAAATAATTTCGCTATTATACATATACTAGAACATAAATTAACTGCATTTGTTTTTGGTTTGCTTTATGGAAATTATTCCCATTATTCCCTGAATCAAATCGTTTCGTCTTTATTTGCGAAAACAAACTCAATCTTTCCATTCCCCTTGCATTCCAAATGGTTTGTTATTGAAAGAAATGGTAGTATAGAAAATATAGGTATTAGCGAACAAAGTGATGACATTGAGACAAAATATAACTAGAGAACTTTTTTCTACTTTGAAGTTGGGGCTTAGTGTAAAATATAAGTGTTTCAATAATTAGTAAGAATACTGTAGTCAAGTGAGCTCGATACGATTTACCCTAAACCCAGCTGGTAAATATATTCTGAAACTATTGACAAATTTCCCTCTAATAAGTTTTGCACCCAAAGGTGAGCAGGTCTGCAAGTGCACTCATTTCTTATAGCAAGCTCAGGCACTGAAGCCCGACCTACAAAATACATACAACATACATATGTATATACGTACACGCAATCGTAACGGGGGTTTGCAGAATACACACAAAGACATATTGACGCTCGCGTCGATTATCATGTCATCTCTTTCGCACACATGTGCTGGCATATATTTATGCATACAGAAAATGCTTGCGGCTACTGATAGAAATGAGATCAATATGAGAATATATTTTCGACTATAATTTGGGTGTTTCTTATCCGATCTTACTGAAATTGGGGCAGTTGATCAATAATATGCATATGCATATGAATTAGAAGATTCTGCCGTTAAATCGAAATCGAAATATATCGATATTCGAGAAACGGAGTCCGTTATCGATCAAACATAGCAAACTTGATCTGCGCCGCGTATACGAGAGCTATATAGTCTCTGAGGTCTGCGTGTTCATACAGACAGACTGACCGTCTGACGGACGGACATGCCTATATCGACTCGACTGTTGACCCAGATCAAGAATATATGTACTTACAGGGGTCGGAGATGCTTCCTTCTGCTGTTACATACATTTGCACAAGACCATTATACTCTTTTACTCATTTTTAATGGGTTCAGGGTATAAAAACTGTTCGTTTTTTGGCGCTTAATTTATTGATTTAGTTTAGATTTTTCAGTTGTGAATTGTATAGATTAAACAAAGATCCGATCTATCCGGTCTATTAAAATTAGGAAACTTAAATTGTTATCGAATAAACCTTGTTACACAAGGCCGTGAGGTTTGAAATTGCAATAAGATGCTATTTTGATGAAACATAGCTTTTACCCGTCCTTTCTTTCCAGGAAGAGTACATTTCGGAGCCGATCGTATCGGATCACTATCACTGCAAGCGGTGGAAAAGTTAGTTATTTTAAGAAAAAACGTATTTGTTCACCATGATATTCAATATTAAATTTTGTTAAATATGGGTATTAAAATATTTTACAAAGTTGAAAAAAAAATCATCTGTGGACAAATTTGTACTAAACAAAGTCATCAGTTATGATTTCAACGATGCTGTTAATCGTCAAATAGTTATTAACATTAAAACTCAATAAAATAAACCTGTCATGGAAAAGGTTGGTTCTTAAAATTATAGTTAATTTTACATGAAGGCAACCTTACTACGGTCTGCAAGGTCATGTAATCTTCGGCGTGTCCAAGAAAAGAAAGAAAGTCAAAAACAAATAGCCTAGTTTTCTAAAAACAGCTCAGTCCGCACAATTATAGTAATCGATTTGTGATAATTATGGCATCCTTTTAGCATTCAGTTATTCCTATTTAAATATATACTATATGCAGACACTCAACCTAATTGGTAAACAACTCTAGAAAGTGTATTCAGCAAGTATACCTACCTAGTATATATGAGTTGCATGCATGACTACAGCCAATGAATAATTTAAAGTAGTGTTATTAAAAAATCGATAAGCCATGTCAGTTGATTCATTAAAATTTAGACATAAAATCAATAACATATGGCCAACACCTGCCGACCCACAACCCGAATGACCTTGCACTTGAAACACTGTGTGAATTTAAAATTGTAAGGCTATTAATGACGTTTGAATTAAGTATAAGTTGTGTTTATGCATTAATAGACTCATAGCACTATTAGTTGAACAAATTTCACATTTTATTGCAAAATGCAATGAATTGGGCATAATCTTATCGCTGCCTTTTATCTAGTACATTGAGAAAACCTGAACATATATTGGCTGATAAGCGAACTCAACTGCTACGCAAAAGAGCGTTAAAGCGAGAGCCAGTTAGTTTGACTAGAGCGAGAGAGAGAGAAAGAGAGAGAGAGAGAAGTGGGTGAGTTGGCCAAGAGCCGAAAACCGAGAGCTGTTTGGCGTTTGCAACTGGCAACGTTCCCGTTCTGGGCTCGCTCAGTCAACGTGTAGCCAGCTAAAGTTAAAGTACGTGTTGTGGCCAAGAATGAACTAATAGAAAAAATACTCAATACAATTAGAAAAAAATAAAATAACTTATACATTACTTTGCAGCTACACAACTTTGAACAACGAAAAACAGAGGGAAGAAAAACCAACAGAATGGCGAACCGGGAACTTGAATTAAATTCCGGAATGCGCTGCGCCAAATATATGCTCATTATAGTGAGCTTTATGTTTGCGGTAAGATTTCCAAAAAAATTTCCAACTTACAGTTCTCATGATTCATTAGTTGAAGCAAACACGCCATTTTGTTTTTCACATACGGAAAAAATATCAAGGCACTGATAATACAGCGCTTTATTTTGCGCTCTTATCAGTAGTTGAGCAATTTTTTTTGTGGTGATTGTGAATCATAATATACGTCTGTGAATTGTTCAGTTGTACAATCTTACATCGACTGTGAGAGCAAATGAGAACAATTTGCAAAAGAGAAACGGGTCAAGTGTCTGATATTTGTTTTTCTTGATAACGCTGAAAACATTTATTTCTGATGACGCAGCGCTTGTACTTTGAAGATAGCAGAGATATTTTCAAATATTATATACATAGGAATATACGACAACCTATCTCAGATATGCATACAAATGTACATGTATTTTTGTAATGCTATCTATATACATTAGATAACTCAGATATTATCAATTAATAGTTGACTTTTGTTATCTTAAATTTTTGTAGGTTTTTCTTATATTCTTAAACTTTTTCCCAAAATTCACTTCCGTTCAAAAGTTATGTACATTAATTACTATGTTTACCCAGTGCGGACAGAATTTGCGTATTTCGATAAGATAGTCAACAGTGGGACAGAACTCTCAAGGAGCACAGATATAATATGAGAAAATGTATACCCAAGAATTCTTTTTTATTTGCTCTTATTCATTTATATGACACACTCATTTACCCAAGGCGTTGCTAGACTTCGTTAAACACTCTTTTTATTATATTCTTGGCAAACAATGATTAATTTCAGGTTTGCAGCTTTAAAATAATCGCTGCACTGAATTAAAAGTTTTTACTATAACTATATATGATTTGTTAACGAATATTTATTTTGTTATACAATGTGTTAGATTTCTAATATTTTTGTCTAACATTTTTAATTATTTATTTAATGTCGACTATTACCAGTCGACACAAAATATATTAAAAGTAAAGAATAGGTTAAACTAAACTACAAATAAAATTCAATATTTATGCTTTTTAACCTTAAGTGCAAAATCAAGCCAAAAATAGTACAATTTCTAGTGGTAGTCAGTAGTAGTAGCAGTAAAATTAGTCTTTAAATATTAGTTGCAAGAATTAAGGAAAACACAGAAAGAACACAAACAGACAAAAAAAAACAAAGAGTTAGATTGATTAAGATGCATTCGAAAATGTTATTCACGAGACAAGAAGATAAAAATCGAGTTAAAAATGATAGAAATATAGATTGGATTGATGGATTGATTACATGATAAAGAATAATAATTATTATTCATATATAAGTGTGGGATATACCTATATTCATTTATTTACTTTCGAAATAATATTATACAACTTTGTTTTAGTGTCCTATAGAACTTGACTTTGAGATCTAACGAAAAGATTTATTAACTTAAGTAATTACATATAATAAATAAAAGCAAAAGCGATTTCTAATATGTGCAAACCAAATATAACCAAAATTATAACTTAATATGGTTGTTGTTTACAATCGCTATTGTATTTGACCCCACTTTGGTTGACAACTACAACAATTATATAAGATTATTCCCCTTGTCCACCTCTCTTGCCATTTGAAATTCTGACACTTACTCATTGTCACCGATATGAGACTCAACGTCAAAGTCGTGACTTGGCATACGATTGCGAAGTGAATTTGTTAACTGTTATTTGTTTTTGCCCTCCCAGCTGACAGCCATACTACTGATCATGGTGGGTACAACCATTCAGGCGATTTTCGGCGATTTTAGTCTCTTCATTGATGGACACTTCTCGTCCCCGCCCGCGCTCCTAATTGCCATTGGTTTCATACTAATTGCGGTCGCCACCCTGGGCGCCTATGGAGCTGTGAAGGAGAGCGTTATGCTCATTAATGTGGTAAGTGGCGAAGCAATAACACTCACAGTTGTCAGCTTGTCATTTTTGTGTCATCTCAATCTACAGTACGGCGTCTGTCTGTTCCTCGTCTTTTTGCTCGAGGTGTCGGCAGCTATTGCCGCCTTTGTGATGCAATCCCAGGTCCGCGAAATGCTGATGCGCACCATGACCGATGCCCTGGCTGATTACGAAACGGATACCAACGTCGCTGCAGGAGTCGACTTTATGCAATCTGGCGTAAGTATGATCCGAGAATGGATATCCAATCATTATTGAGGTTCAGCACAGGGAACAAAAAGAACCAAATTCAAAAATATTTTTTTGAAATACATATCAAGCTCAAGATTATATATATGAGTTTTTAGTTTAGTTTTATATATATGAGATTTTAGTTTAATTTCAAGTTAAAATATTCCATGAAAATATAATGAAATATTTCTCAATTTTTTACCAATAATATTTTTTTTTTTCAGTTAAAAATTACGTTTTTAAAATTGTATTTAATACACTTTATCGTTTTCAAACTTATCCTTATTATAAAAATTAGTACGACTTATCATCTTTTAAGTTCTTTTCAATTAACAGACTTCTGATTTCAGATTGTTGTTCTTAGCTAATCTTACTTAGTTTAATTTTCAGTTTCTTTTCACGGAATAGATTCTTGATTGGAGCTTGTAGTTCCTAGCTTTGGTTTTCAAAATGCATTTTTTCGCTTTGTACAAATATTAATAAGTACAACTCTAACTTTCTTTACATCTTTAAATAGCAAAGATGTAAAGTAATATTAATAAATTAAATTTACTTATATTTTTAAAATTTAATTTGATCTTATAAACAGTTGTTTTATAGGCTTTGCGGCTTGAAATTATTTGTTACACTGAAACTATTTAAGTTTGAAATATTTGATTCATTACTTTATATTATTGTAGTTGGGCTGCTGTGGTGTTAGGGATCCCGATGATTGGAAGCTGTACTACTCGCCCAATCAGAACATGTCCCACCTGGATTCGGATGATGTTGTTGTGCCGATCTCATGCTGTGGTAGCCTGGCCCAGGATCCCAACGATAACGACGAGGTGAACTGCCTGGAGCCCTTCGAATATGGCTGCTTCCGGAAGATGAACTTCATACTGTCGCAGAGTGCGATGCTCATTGCCACTGGAGCGACAACCGTTGCCTTTGTCCAGCTCCTGGGCGTGCTCTGTGCGTTCATGCTGGCCAAGACGCTCCGGCGCAACAAGTCGATACGCGAGGCACGTCGCTGGCAACTTCAACAGAGCCTCGGCGTTCTCATTTCGGGCGGCAAGATGGGTCTGCCGGCCAACTCGGCGATGAGCGGCTACCAGCAGCTGGAGAATAGCAGGGAGCCGGGCACACATGAACCGTACACCTACACGCCCCAGAGTCCCAGCGTCAATTAAAAATCAACAGCAATATAATGTAAAATATATGTAATTTCGTAATCAAATGCCAAAGTGAAATTCAAATAAAATGCAGCCTCAAACGATTAAGTTTAGGACTGCTCACCCAATTGCTTGACCAAATTCTTGAGTAGACGCAGTTGCTCCACAATGCTGGCCGTGGCGGTGCCACCAATCGCATCATATTGCTGCACATTGTAACCGTAGTCCGCCACGCTGGCAATATCCGCTCCAAATGCGGCACAAATCTGCTGTAGCTCGCCCAATGGAACCTCCGTTATATCCACGCCCCGCTGCTCCGCCAGTGTCACCACGCGTCCAATGTGATGATGGGCCTGCCGAAAGGGCACTCCCTTACGCACCAGGTAGTAGGCCTGGAATTAGTTAGTTGTTAATATTATAATTTTATTACAATGTTGATTTATTTTAATACCAAGACCCAAGAATTTTGACACTAAGCAATTAAATTACGAGGCAGATTTGATTATTAATTTGCCTAATTTATTTACAACATTTTCTGTTGTCAATTTTTAACATTCATTAATGGTATTTATGATCTTAGCGCGGACCTCTTTATATATAAGCAAAATCGTGAGCCCGTACCTTTTAAAAAGCAAAGTGTATACTCTTGACAATCTGTTTGTTTTTGAGCAATCTTTATGAAACTTTGACTAAAATTGAGAGCATTTTTTATATATTTCAGAAGTAGATTTTCGAATAATTCATTTATATTATTTAGAACTACATTTTAAACGTCCTATCTCGTGAATAACTTTTCGTATGCACTTGTCGTGGGGTTTAACTAATTCATACTAACTATTTTTTGTGTATCTTTTTGCGTTTTCCTGTATTTTCCCTAATTAAGGATTAGATATTGGACCATTTTGCATTTAAATACCCCCAGATATCTTATAAATATTTCATATTTTTTAATTTAAATTTAATTTTACATTTTATTCTTAATTTAATTTCATTCATTTTGTTACTTTAGTATTGTTTTCTGTCGACTGATTTTAGTTGACATTAAATAAATAAATAAATAAATAGAAAACATTGTGAAGCAATGGAAAAATTCCACCTATTTTTAGATCCAAAGAAGAACAATTAACTTGAGTCTGGTTTTTATGTAAGTTTAATTTCAGATTTCTGAGCCCGTGGAACAACTTACCCAATCGGTAGCCAACATATCGGAACTGAGAGCCGCCTCCAATTGATGACGCTGCACCTGCATGGTTTCAATTACGCCGATGGCAACGTCCAGACTCTGGGCCAGCTTATCGTAGGCCTGGAAGCAGTATTGCTTATCGAACTGGAAGTCCTTGTTGTAGGTGGATGGAGTGCCCTTCATGGTCATCATAATGCCCGCCAGATTCGATGTTATAAGCCCCGATATACCTCGAATCAGCTCCAGACTATCCGGATTACGTTTCTGTGGCATTAAACTGCTGCCGCTCGCAAATATGTCGGCGATTTTGATAAAATCAAATTCTTTGGTGCTGTAGACAATGAGATCCTCGGCCAGACGAGACATGTGCATGCTCACCAGCGAACAGCAGTAGATAAAGTCCACTGAAAATAAAATATAAAATAATTGACTTAATATAATATTAAATTGTTTTAAAAACATATTTTGTGGCAAGAATCCAAAGATAATTAAATTTATTCGATGGCTTACACTTATGTATATAAATTTCCAATTTTTTTCGTTAAGTCCAATCTACTTGCGGACATACGGAATATCTGTCTGCATGACGGGCAAAACCAATATACTATGATACTTTCGGTATTAAAGAATAAATATTGTGAGCATATGTGGTTATTTCTTAAATATCATTTCACATTATTAGGTTTGGATTGAATAATACTTTGTTTTTAACGCAATTGAGATATTTCTTAGTTACTTATCTTACGATTAAATCAAAGTTTAAATATATTTTGTTACAAAAGAAAAGTTAAGAATAAATTATTTTTTGTATACTTTGTTAAAAAGAATTAGATATATTGATATTTGGTTTTATTTGAGTTGCATGGAAAAATCCACGTATAGTTCATAAAGAAACAAACAGTTGCAAATTTCTAGTGATAGCTATAGAAACCAGCTGAAAACTTGATAATAATTTTTCTTATGCTTCATAACTACTGTTGTATTCCTGAGATACTAATAATTCTTAGCATATCATTTAATTATTGTTATTGTTATTAGGCACAGCCAAAATTGAAGTTATAAACTAAGCAATCTAGCTTGATATGTTATATCATTGCCACTGGGACATTCAGGTGCCTAACTATATTAGCATATAAAGATAATTTTGTATGTATTTTATATATAATTTTGTATATAAAGATAATTTTGTATAGGTTTGGATAACACAATACTATGTCATGTTGAAATCTTGTTTGGGGTGTTTATCTTAAATAATCAAACTTATATGATTAAATCTTAATTTAAGCATGTTTTGTTACAAATGAAAAGTTACAAAATATAAATAGTGTGGTCATATTTGGTAAGTTTCATAGATATATTAAATAGAAAGCTTTTCTTTCACAAACAATTTTATATAATTATCTGATATAGACATATATGCGGTGTTGCATACAGATATTCATTTGTAGCAGGATTGAATAACATAACATAATATATATATAATATATATTATATTTATACAACATAATATATATATAATATATATAGAATATTTTATATATATAAGCTTATTTTTATATATACTCTTAATATATAATATTTTGTTAATAACTTTTTTTAATTAAATGAAGTTGCAGGATTATCCAATCAATCCAACTCACCTACAAAATCACGATCGCCTACAGCGTGCATGCTGTTGCCCGTAACTCCAGCGAAGCCCAGACGCTCTGCCAGCCACAGGCGATCAATGCCCAGTGGATTCCCGGCTAAAGCTCCGCTGCCCAGAGGTAACACATTGCAGCGATCGCGTAACTCGAGCAGCCGCAGGCAATCCTCGCGCAGGGCAAAGGCATGCGAGAGGAGCCAGTGGGAGAACTGAATGGGCTGAGCCCGCTGCAGGTGCGTATAGCCCGGCATGAGCACGCCCAGATGCGACTGCGACTGCTCCACCATCGAACTGATGAGCAGGCTCAGGCGGCCCAGAGTTTCACGTATCGCCTTGCGCAGCCAGAGCTTCAGGTCGGTGACCACCTGATCGTTGCGACTGCGTCCCGTGTGCAAACGTTGGCCCAGCTCACCGGTTAGCTCCACTAGGAGGCGCTCGTTGACCGTATGGACATCCTCATCGCTGGCCTGAAACTTGACGAGTTGCTCAATCCAATCGTAGCGTATCAGCTCCAGATTCTTCACCAGCTTATCGCACTCGGCGGCATTCAGGTGACCAGCACGCATCAGTGCCTCCGCGTAGGCTTTGCTCGCATCCAAATCATCCGCATAGAGACGCCAATCGAGAGACAAACTGTTGTTCAGCTCTTGCAGCACCTGATGTGGTTGCTCTGTGAAGCGACCGCCCCACAGCTGATAGCTGGAGGAGTGCGAGTTTTCCTGCGTCATTCCGTTTGCCTTGCTTGCTGTTGACTGACTGCCAGTTGTTCATTTTGTCAAATTCTATTTAAAAATAATTGTTGTATGTTTATTTCGAATCTAGCTATATATAATCTGTGCCTTATCTTTGGAAATATACGTTACTTTCCCAAATGATCTTATTCGCTGCTTTTAGCATGCTATAAAACCCCAACTGATGTTTTGCTTTATGTTGATGAAACTTTGGCACAGTGGTTGTAAATCATTTGCTTTTGTTGATTTTAGAAAAACTATACAAATTTGTATGTCAACTACTTTATAGAGCACTGTTTCTCTTAATCTATTTAAATATTTCTGTACATTTATATTTTTATTTAATACAATGGTAATTATTCATTCAAAATATATAAAAAATATTTAATTATATATCTATATATATATTTTCCTTTTTAATAATCTTTGCTGCTTGCAAGGCTCTAGGTGGCATTTTGACATATTTTTATTAATTTTTTTTTTTTGCTGACGTACTTCTAATAATTTAATAAAAATAATAAATGACAAAAAATATGTTTTAAAATACCATTTTCATTTTAATATTCAGATATTCATTTTAATCTTTTATCCAGTTAATAAATTGTAGATTTAAAAATTCGGATTTAAATGATGTAAAAAGTAGCAGCTTATTTTAACACTCAAATTGTAGATAAAAATAATGTACATGAAAATCAATCAATACGATATACAACAATAATTATTTAATTATAGAAAGCAAATATAGAAAATAAAAATAAATCAGCGACACTGTGCGGCTAAAGAATTAACAACAAAAACGACACAGCAATTTAACTTGATGTCTAAAAAAAAAAAAAAAAAAAAAAACACTGTTTTCTATAATTATTTTTTTAATTTGTACTCTTGACTTAGTCTATGAGCAAACAGAAACAACAAACAAAATGTCTTATCAGACATAGACTAGCCGAACTTAAAGTGTAGCCTCTGACGTGCACAGATTACAAATGTTGTACTGTGATAAGCGACTAACTGCAAGCGTATGGCAGCTACTTCAGGTCCTCCAGAAACAGTTTGTTCAGCTCGCAGCACAGACGATGCAGTGGAAGACCCATGACACAGTAGAAATCACCATCAATGCGAGATATGAGGGCGCCACCAGGTCCCTGAATACCATAAGCGCCGGCCTTATCGCTGCAGAGCACACATATACAGAGACACAGAGAGACAGAGAGAGAGAGAGAGAGAGAGAGAGAGAGAAAGAGAGAGAGAGAGAGAGAAAGATAAGTTGAGTGCAGTTAAAGATGTTTTGTACAAAAGAATACATTGCTGCAGCTTCTAAGTGAAGCACCAACTTAATATTTCAAATGCAGTCAAAATAATAGTAGTGCTACTTAGCAGAGCATTTAATAAAAATATAACTTATTTTATGGTGCTAAAATCAGGACCTCTACAAAATCTTCAGTATGAAGAAAAAATAAATTCTGTAAAACACAAGATTTTGGCTTTTCATCTAGCAATGTTTAAAAATATTATTGCTTTCGAAATAATCAACGCCATCATATCTAGTTTTAAATATATTATTTGGTCGAAGGGAGAGCGGGGAAAACTTCACCAATATTCCATTACTATTGTAATGATAAATTTAAATAATTTAAGAAAATAAATATAAAAACAACTAATTAAATTTAAGGACTGTTTTGTTTTAGTAACTCTTTTAATTATTTTCTTTGCTTTGCTCTAGTCTTGTTTATACTTGAAATTATCTTATATCCTAGGATGTCATAATATATATATATTATATATTATATATATATATATATATATATATATAGAAAACTTTCTATATTTTGGATATATAACTAAACTTTTAATATATACTACACATTTTTCCAAATTTGGAGGTGTAATGCAACTGCCTTACAATAGACTCTCTTGATTTTTAGAGTTAAAGAGTATAATTCCGTCTACGACCCCTCACACATTACAGGGTAATGCAGGCTGTGAAGTGGTAGGCATGTAATAAATTAATAATAATAATTCAGATTCACTGACTGATGGTTAGCTTAAAGCACTAAGCAGACAATACTTAGAGGCGTCGAGTCGACTTAAAACTTGCTATAGTGTTTGCTTTGTGCTTAGTCATTGGCTGTTCGTAGTCTTAAGTATACTGAATTACCGTTGCTCTTTGAAACAGTTGAAGATGCACTTTTACTTTCATTTAAAAGTTACCGATTTAATTACAGTTGCACATGTACTGATCCTATAATTGAGAATTTACTCTTCCATCTTGATTCACAGTTCTAAGAGCATTTATTATAAACGAAAAGTACCCCATTTAAACCAAACTTCCAGGGCAAAATAAAAACTTGTTTTGATCAGTGTGGACTTTTGAGGGTACTGGGACTGAACTGGAAAGTTTTTCCTTAGATGAAAAGATTTACGAGTTTTTACACAGATACTATCAATTTCTTCAACTATTTCCCATCACATTCGCATAGGTACGGTTTTAAAGCATTGTGTCACAATATTCAACGACATTGCAGCTTGCAATTACACTGAAAACCTGGAAAAGAGACATCACACTCACAGTGGATCCCCGCTGTCTATATAGCTTTGTATCTGTGCCGCCGTCAGCTCTCCGAAGTAGACATCAGCTGTTTCTGTAAATTGCCGCACACCTTTCGCATGCTTGAGGACGACGCCGGTAAAGACACGATTGCTAACGCCGGAGAGGCTATAAAAAGCAGATGAAAAATGTCAATCAATTGATTGATTTTTACATTATAATATCTGATTAATTGATTTACTTGGTAAGCATGCGGAGAGCATCGGCTGCGTCTCTGGGTTTGCCGTAGATCTCGTTGGCCAGTGTGACCATTGTGTCGGCAGCAATTACCACCAGATTTTCGACGTCGCCGGCGCTGCTCAAGCGCTGGAAAACCTCCTCGGCCTTACCCGAGGCGGTTGCTTCGATGTAGTCGGAGAACTCCTTGAAATCAGCCACATTCAGATCCTCCTCGAAGGTTGAGGGACACAGTTCCGCATTGAGACCCTATGGAAAGACAAGCCAAAGTTATAAGATCTGTTTAAAATTGCACACTCCACTTTTTATGAGCTCTTGCCAGCATCTGCACCAACTCCTTGCGGCGAGGGGAGCCGCTGGCGAGGACAATGCGATAATTGCTCAGCAAATGCTTAATGGGTGCCAACATTGCTAGTGGCAATCAATAATATTATTTTGCTGGCGAGTGAAAATCGCGCGAAGATCGGTAACAAAACAAAGTACGAAACCATGTGCTGTATACTTTGGTGTTATCGATTATTCAGATGAATATATGATAAATTCTCTTGGTATTTTACTAACATTTTGGTATTTTAGCAGCATACCGATAACGCAATAGCTGCTGCATCGACCGACCGCCTCAACGTATCGCTTGAGTGCAAGCGACGCGAAAATATTTCGCGGCAACTCAATTTGCTACAAAAAGGTTTCGTTGTGCAATTTGCTAAGAGGATTAATGGACGCGAGACGAACGTGTACTTTACATTAACCGTTAGCTGTGAGAGCGACATCAGCTGATGCAATACAAACTTGTACGCTTTACGATCTCGCCGTTGAAAGAAGCGCACAGAAACAAGGCCCGAACACGCAGGCAATGAAGAAGCACAATGAGTTGCGCTAATATAAGTACGTGTTTGTGTGTGCGCCTGTGTGTGTGTGTTTCTGTATTAGCTTAGTGATATTTTTAATTGTGCGCCGTCGTCGTTCCGTCCACTGCCCCATTGTCAAATTCATTTACCGCCTTTGCCGTTAGTGAACATTTACAACCAAGCAGCGACAGAGAATTGTCAACGTCGCAGTCGCAGTCGCTGCCCGCGAGCGTTGTCGTCACCTTGAAGTGCCACGGGCCGCCGCTGACCGCCGCAGTCACAAGGCGCACGCGATTCATTGCTAACGGTTGCCTTCCCTACTACTTCCTTCCTTCCAGTCCAAGTCTGGGAAAAGTTCAGTTAGGCCGCGTTTGTGTCAAGGTTGGCTGATACGAAACCCAAAAAAAATATATAATATATATGTATGAGTGCATAAATTTACATTTATATGATTAAGTATATATTTTTCAATTTGCATTGTAGTTTATTCAACAAATATTTGTTTATTTGTGTCTGCGACTTTTCGGTCAGTGTTGAGTTCACGAATGTTGTTGCATAAAGCACAATAATCAATGTACATTTTGCGTGTAAAGTGTGGGCACGAGGGTTACTTCAAATGTACTGAGGCATTGGTGAATTTTTGACAATAAAACAAAAGGAAATTTAGCGATTCTTCAAGGATTCAAGTAAAAAATCGATAGGAAATAAAAATAATACCAAATATTTATTGGGATATGTTAATTAACAAATATTATTTAATAATAAAAATAATATACGTAAAGAAGTGAATATTTAGAAAGTATTGAAATATTCAAATTTGTGATTAGAAGAAATTGTGTCTATTTATGTTCATATAAATATTTTGTGAAACTTGAATTTAAATTGGATTTTGATCATTGAAAGCAAATACATAACACTGAAAAAATAATAATAATAATAAGTCTCATTCAGATAACTATTTGCTGACAATGATAACAATTGGTTTACTAGCCGTCTAGGCGTGCCTTGATTATAAAAAATTTTTTAGAGCTTTTTGATAAAATCCATTTGGGAATGTACAGTTTAAGAACACTAATCACTTAACCATGATTAAATACATGCTGTTATCATTAACTGTGTTAGATAAAGAACTCTTCACGTATACCACAGAAGGTAATTTCTAGATGTTTAATATGAAATTCTTAAGCAGCCCTCGTCTAATTATATTAATTACATTGAATAGCCAAATAGGAAGTGTAAAATGTATTTATATCCAAATGCAACATAATTGCGTCGGCACAGACTAGCAATATAAAATTAAGCATCTAATAGAGCCACATTCTAGTAAATTATTGTGGCCTATATTTATTTTTATTTATTTATTCAATGTTAACTACAGTCAGTCGACACAAAATATACAAAAATTTAATTATGTTGATTAAATTATTATTGATTGAAAATAAAATGTAAAATTAAAGTCATAAATTGACAGCAGATAAACCGATTTCCAAACCAACTTTAAAATACTTTTCTTTGTGTAAGTGCTGCTCAAACTGTAACTCAATCATCAAGCAGCGACTGTCAAATGAAACGCACGTATTTACTCCCAATCTCTCTCTCTATCTCGCTCTCTCTGTATCTTTTTAGTACAAACACATCACATGCTTGCGTCGTCGACTACACACAATTGTAGTTAAACATCACGCGCTTGTCCACTCAAATTCGCCTTTGTTTCTCGGAGAATAAGACGCTCAATTCGACCATGTTCTCACTGCAGCATCTGATCAAGAAGACGAGTGGAAGCGGCGTGGGTGGTGGTGCCGCTGCTGATCTCTGCAAGTTCCTCAGTCAGCTGAACAGCGGGCTGACGTTATCATCAGCTGAAGCTACAGCGACAGAAAAGCAGCAGTCGAGCGAATTCAACTTCAGCGACGACACTGTCAGTCGCAATTCGCCCCTGACAGCGCACGGTTGCTGTTCGTACGCATCGAAATCGGAGTCGGCGCACGTCGTTCATTTATCAAAGCAATTTGTACGCAGTTTGCTACAGCAGCACACTCACGCTCACGGCATACAGCGTCACATATCCTCCAAATCGTCCTCCTCCTCGTCGTCACAACAGACAACCATCAAATTTGCCATGTCCTCCTTGGCAGCGGAGCCTCTCCAGGCGGAAATTATCACCAGCAATAGCAGAGATGACAGCAGCGGAATCACAGCTGCTGCCGTAGCCGCTGCTGCCGTCGTCGATGGCGCTGCAAGCGAGGGAAACGCCTCCTGCCACGAGGCTGCCTCAAACAATGCGGCAGGCAAGAAGCCCTGCTTCAGCACCGGCCTCGCTGACATCCTCCAATTCATGGAGCTCATTGGAAACCTCAAGGTAAGCACAAAAAAAAAAAAAAATTTATATATATATAAAAAAAAATTAAATCAAAAAGAAACCAGTTTTTTGAGACGTCCCCCAAATGCCCTCGCATCGATTTTTCCACAACTGGAACAAAAGCTATTTTTGTGTGCTGTGCTTTCAGTTAATCAGCAAAACTTTGCAAACCAAAAAGCTGACAATAATCTCGATAGGATTCAACAAAATTGTAGAGCTATTTTGATACAATTTTGGTCATGTTTACATTTTAGATATATCGCGTCGATAATATATTTTCAGAAAATTACAAATATAATTTCACAATAAATTTCATGTTCGAGCGATCATTAGATGTATTTATAAACAGTAAACAGATGCATAATATTGATAAGTTGATATGTTTTGATAATGTTTACATTTTACAATTTGCATATTCCCATAGCCATTTTAATTTCTCTTCTACGCTCTAAAAATATTCTTTAAAAACGAATAATATATTTTGAGATATATTCGAATATTTTGCAAATTCGCTTGCCAATATGTATATGTATAGATATGTATATATATATGTGTTTTGCTTGTTTCAGCCATTTCACAATAATTCCAAGTGATTTCAGAATGAAATGTGTGAATATTCACGTGAGACAATTGGTACTTTGGCATTGCGACAAAAAAATAAACAAAAAAATTACTTATGCAATTGAAAACTGAGCTCAAAGTTCAATTAGGAGATATGTCAGTTGAAATCGATGTTCGACTAATTGGCCAGCATCGCATTGATAACGAAAAGCGAGTTTTTCAATCGGGTTCTTCAATTTGCCCCATTGTAATCCGTCAATTTGAAATTATCAATTATGCTGATTAGATAATAAAACAGGGTATAGCGAAAGTCTCTTCGAAAGAATATAAATACAATAAAACACCAGCTATTAACAGAAAATGCACAAAACTAATAATTAGTATAAACTAAAACTAAATAAAATATAATTTGGATCTGCATATGTCCAAGCACATATCTAAATATGTATATGTACGTATGTTTATGTATGCATACTACGAAAAGTGTTCAAGTATTATACAATATATATATCCATAATTCCTAAATTCGTATTCATTTGTGTGAGACTGAAACAAAGAGAATTATTTTGGGTAAAGAGCGAAAACAGCAAAGATAATAAAAAAAAAAAACTTAAATAGAACAGGTTGGCAACAATTTTAGCAGGAAATACGTGCATTATTATTAAGTACAGTCCCTATACAAAATCAAGCTAAGCCACGAACTATTTTTGAATGAGTCAAATGCTCATGGAAAAAATAGCAGCCATATAAATGCGCGTCACCCATTTCAAAACATATCAAACACACAAATATTATATGGTCAGCTTGAAGTAAGCCTCAATCTCAATAAAATTTAAAGAAGATTTGATAAAACTTGCATACATTTTGTGTAAATTGTGAATCTGCATTAGATTAGTTCTCATTTTCTAATTACGACAACTTGGTTCCACATATTTAAGGCACAACCGCAGAATATAGATGTTGGGCGGCTAATTTTTTGATGATGCCCACAATGCACGGTTCGATACGAAAAGAGTTTCGATTTGTTGTTGATTTGTTTAATTTGAAGGCAGACGCATCATTTCAATCGATTTTTTTCTCAACAATTGCATTTGCATCCCCAAAATTTATATAGACGTCTGTTTTCTTGTTTCCGTCTTTCTAAAATATTTTTATTCAATCTCAATATCTGCATTCTTCTTTGCCACTGCTTTCTTTTGACTGGCTGTTTGCTGTTGATATCGCACTAATTCAAGCAGATCTATTTTGTGTACGTATGTGTGTGAATAGTAATAAAATATAATAAATACGCGAAATATAAATTTGCAACGACGATATTGGGGCTGGTCGACGGAAGAAGCTTATTTTGATGAAAAGCCCGAATTCAAGTCAGTTGACTTTATTTTGATTAGCGATGACATGTCGATGTCGGGAATGGTGATGTCAATATATAAATAAATTTATAGTACACAAATTACTACATTAGCAATTCAACAAAAGATAGCGGAATACGGTGATAAGTAAATGTGTAAACAGAAATTGGAAAGCTTAATCGAGCATTTTATGAATCCAGCAAAAAATCTTACAAATTAAACGAACATTTCTTAGATATATTTTCCAAGAGCAGAATATATTAAAGATATTTCGACACTTAGCATGATTTTGTGTTGGTGGGACTGTACTATATAATAATGCACTTATTTCTTTATAAACTTCTTGCAAGACTTTTCTATCAAAGTAAGAATAATTTTTAGTCACAAATCCTACACATAAACATATTGGCTTGTTTTGCTTTAATTTGCTGTTTTTCAGCTTTACCCAGCATAATTCGCTTTGTTTTACTCTCGCACAAGCGTATATGAATTTATATATACAACTACCTCGTCTAATATTTGAACGCTTTTCGTAGTATGTATAAATAAACATGCATACACATACTTATTTAAATCTATGCTTGTACATACATAAATACAAATGATGTTTTCTTTAGATTTAGTTTCTTTTTCATAATTATTAGTTCGGTTAATTAATAAATTTATTTATGTCGTTTTTTTTTGTTATTATATTCTTTCTGAAAGACTTTTGCCTGTGTTCAACATTTTCTTAGGGTTTATCTGTGTTATAAAACGGATTACATTCATTCATTCCAATTTAAAACTTCGGTGCAAATCAGGTAAACATCGATTTCAACTGACAGTTCTCCTAATTGAATTTTGAGCTAATTTTTCGCTTGCATAAGTGAATGTTTTTATTTTTTTTTTTTTTTTTTTTTTTTTATTTCACAATGGCAAAGTTCCAAAGGCCTCACGTGAATATTCACTCATTTCATTCTTAAATGACTTGGAATTATTTTGAAATGGCTGAAATATGTATATCATATATACATATATATATATATATATATTCATATATATATACATATATATTTTTGCAAGGCGAATTTACAAAATATATATTTTGTTGGTATATTAAGAAAAATTGTAGAGCGTAGAAGTGTAATTAAAATAGCAATAGGAATACGCAAATTGTGACTTTGATCTTGGCCTTCAAAGTGAAGACACGATACTCAGAATGTTATACTACATGTAGTAGGCAACTTGCCTATGAAGAGGTGTGTGTGGGGGAGGGGCTTGTCTCGTCTGTGGTCTGTTGCTATTGTTGAAAATAGATACAAGAATAGAGAAACCGCAACAATAATATTTGGTTACTCAAACTGCCAGACGGTCTCATAATACAAAAGAAGGCGAGCAAAAATGATTGATAGGAAATACCCTATACTCCCACATAAATAAGATTCATAGTTTTCTAACAGGAGCCGGATTTTAAAAATAATCGGTCTAATTGACAGTTGGCAACTTGTGATTATCAAGTTACTTCTCCATACAATAATTGTCAAATATCAGATTTGATTTTTAATGCGCTTAACGATCGCCATAAGCCCAATATTTCTATTTGCATGAAGTGTTCAAAGCACTATGTCTAATTAAAAAGATAGGCACAGAGAGAGGTAGAAAGAAGGGGAGGGGGATGGGGTACAGCACTGACAGCCTAACCAGTGACATCGTCGCCCAAGGCCGCCCGCTCTCCGCTAGCCCACTTCCCCCCTTTCGGCGCAGGCCTTCAACTTAAACCTATACAGTTGGTTGTAGGCTGTTGCTATTTGATCAATAAACGGTTTATTTATAGAAGCCCCGCAGCGGGGTAGACAAGGTCGAGAGATGTTGCCAACGTCTTTTCTCTCTTTTCTCATAAATATTATTATATTTACATGTCCACACAAAGCGAGTACGGCTTATCTCAGGCACTACGTTATAGAGCTTATCTTCAATTGGGTAAAAGTCACGTTATTTTATGCAATTGTTGTACTTATCAGCGGACGAATATGCCCCGTAATAAGTCATGACTACGCAGATATTATAATAATAGTAATAATGAAATTAAACATATTATTGAAAAGCTGATAAGTTAGCATATGCAGTGCAATTTGTTTATTGCTACTATTTCTGGTGGTTAGCTAAATGAATGTTGTTTATTGCGTAGCTTAAATATATATTAACGATTGTAGGAGTGTAGCAAACACAGCTGTTAGTCATATTATTATTACGTACATGTTGAATAAACCTTCTCTCTATTTTTTTATAGCACACCAAACGCACTGGGTGGGTGCTGCGGGATGTGAACGACTGTGAGTCCATCTCCGGTCACATGTATCGGATGAGCATGTTGACCTTTCTGTTGGATGGCAGTGAGGGTCTCAATCAGATACGCTGCATGGAGCTGGCGCTGGTGCATGATCTGGCCGAGAGTCTGGTTGGCGACATTACTCCCTTTTGCGGTGTCTCCAAAGACGAGAAGCGTGCCATGGAGTTCAAAGCCATGGAGGACATATGCAAGTTGATTGAGCCACGCGGCAAGCGAATCATGGAGCTATTCGAGGTGAGCAAGTGCATATAAATTGTAATAGGGTACGACTAAAACTGAATTCCTGTCTATTTAGGAGTACGAGCATGCGCAAAGTGCCGAGTCCAAGTTTGTGAAGGACCTGGATCGCTTGGATATGGTTATGCAGGCGTTTGAATATGAGAAACGTGATAATTGCCTGTTAAAGCATCAGGAGTTCTTTGACTCCACAGAGGGCAAGTTCAACCATCCGTTTGTCAAGAAGCTCGTCAACGAAATCTACGAGCAACGCGATCTGCTGGCCAAGGCCAAAGGCGCCACGCCGCCGCCGACAATTATAGTGCCTACCATGGAACTCACCGCCGCCGCATCAACGCCCACAAATTTAGCCAATGGACAAGGCAGCTCAAGTTGAAGCTTTGGGTGGTGACTTGGGGATTTAAGTTTAGCACATACACAGATACACACACAAATACACACAGTCACACAACACATACACAAGCACCTAAATGATAAGCGTATCCAACTAACAAAGATTGTTAAGCCTACCTCGACACGCTCATAGTTAGAATTTATATTCATAAATATATATATATATAGATATTAATCATTTTAATTTATTTAAAAAACGACGTAACTTTCATTATTGTCGCTTGGCTCTTGACAGCATTCGTTAAACAACAATGTTTCACCTTAGTTCAATTTTTTCTATATTAGTTGTTGAAGTCAAATCTTCTTAAATGATTGAAGCAACTACACATTTGTACATACTATGCATTAAAAAGGCTAGCTAATTTTAAAAGTGTAAACACCAAGCAAAAATCACTTAAATGTTGCAAATCGAAGCGAAAGTTACGTTTAACATCGTAAAGTCTAACATATTAAATCAAATTGATTGATTTTAAAGGCATAATAAAAATTAATTTATAGCAAAACAAATTTAGCCAATTTAAAAAGTTTGACCAACAAAATCAAAAATTTACTTCATTCTTGAACAGTTATGTAAGAAAGTGTTGTACTAAAAAAATAAACCAAATTAGACAAAATAAAATAAAAACAATAATTAAAGTCATGCTTCAAAAGTGACAAAAACACAATTGAAAATTGCGTTTTCTTATTAACCACAGATATTGTTCACAGATTTTAGGGCCTTATTTTTAGGTCATTGATTAATAATATTAAAAAATATTATATGTTGACTATAATAATGCAGACAAATGCGTAGGAAAAGTCCTACACATGCATGAGCATGTTCATAAATATTGTATGTACATATTTTCAGTACAAGAATATAATTCAATTGGTTTATTTTTTTCATTAGATGCGAAAACAAATATTTAATATTTACAATAATTAAATATATATATTTGTCGAGATTTTGATACCTGAATGCAAATCGATTAAGGGCTTATCAATATGCTTTTACCATGTAATAGAAAGAATTTCTTTTGCTTTCAAAAACATAAAATTTTATTGAACAAAATCAGGATTATGATGCAGACACCATTAATAATATTTGCCAGCCAGTCAATATGGGTTGTTGCCATATTTGCTATGTACTCTAGAAATGGTTGAAAAGAGAATTAAGTTAAACAATTGAATTGGATAAATATTTGGACTTTTGTTAAGTGGATTTTACTACGCACCTTCAATGACGATAAACTGATTGTCGCGTGTTGAGGTCTGATGCGAGTGTTGCACATGCTTTTTGGCCTTATCTGTGTATATATTGAATTAATTGAAATGTTTTTAAATGTAAGTTTTCCGCCTTTCTTCTTTTCCCCACTTACGATGTAATATAATACTGCGCTCTGTCTCTCCTAAAGCATTCCGGGCAATGCATTTGTATTCGCCAAAATCTCGCCTTGTCAGCGCTCGCAGCGTGAGCCGCATCACGATGCGATGCACATGATCGACGACCATGGAGTCGTAGGTGCCGCCCTGCAGAAGCTCCTTATCCTTGATCCAGAAATTAATCGATGCCGGCTGCGATTCGCTGATGCACTCGAGCGTCAGCTTCTGGCCCAGACCCACATAAATGGTATCGTAGCGCGTCCAAATGGTTGGCGCAACTGCAGGAATTGACAAATTGTATTCCCGAGCTGAGAGGACCTGGATAAAAATACTTACAGTTGACAACCAACATGACGCGCTTGCTGACCGTTGGCGGCACCCCGTTAGATGCGATGCACAGATAGGCGCCCATGTGGACGCGCTGAAGTTGCCACAGTGTCAGATTCTGAGCCTCCAAACTGTAGATCTCGTCCACCTGCTCATCGCCGTGTTCAGTGGGCAGCCAGAGCGGCGCATTTTCCTCGCGTCGCCAGGTGATTGTCGGTAGTGGCACACCTGTTGCACTGCACGTGAGTGTCACATTTTGACCACTGGCGCGCACCACATCCTGGCTGGTCTGGTAGTCAACAATGTCGGGCGGCACAACCACATCCAAATAGCCCATTTGGCTCTTCATCGGATCGGTGTTTATTTGGCACATGTACCTTTAGTATTTATAAATATTATTATTAACCAATATTAATTAACTGAGCAGATAAGATTATGAGAACATTATTCCGTTCGGCGTGTTGACGACACCTCTTCGATGGATATAATTATCGAACAGAATAGATTACAAATGGCAACAAATCTTTCATATTAAAAATATTAAGCTTTTTTATTTAAATGGCTCTAGAATACACGAAAACGAAATACTTGTCGCCAAGGACAACTCGCCTTTTTATTCAGGAAGTTTGTTTATAAGCGGAGGGGTTGTGTCTTTCTAAAAACAAGAGATTTTTTTTCTTAAGTCCAGAACACATTTTTATAAAATTTAGAAAAAGTTTGACTAAGTAAATTTTCTTGTTATTTATTTATTATTATTAAACATTAGTATATATCCCTTATATATACAAACATTTCAGATGGTTGACAAAATTATATAATTTAATTTTGAAAACACTTTTGATTTTGTTGACTAATTGAATTTTTCTAAAAATAATGGTTTGCTCTCTTACTATTTATAAATATATTCTATTATTAAGAAATTAATTTCTGAAGAAGAACTAGTTTTCAGAACGATCTTTTAAAATTTTTAATTTTTTATCATCGCGAATAAAAATATATCATGAATAAAAAAATAGCAGGGATATTTAAAAAATAGAAAGCATGGAGCTAGTCTGAAAATGGCTCGTCCCAAAGTGCTCATTACTGTATCGCGACGGAATTTGGTATCTAAATGGCTATATTATTCAGAATTAATTATATTCAGAATTAGGAATAAAAAAGGAAAATATAATACGAAAGTCTCTAGCGAAAAAAAACCTGGTTATTCTTCGACCTCATAATGCCTAGTCATTATAGTTCATATGAACTAGTAAGAAAAACAAGTGACACGACCATAATATAAATTTATAAATAATTAAAATCAATAATTAGGATGATTAACTTGCATAATAAGATAAATCCCAAGCGAAAAATCAATTGTATTTTATTACTTGTTTTTCAAACAAACATCAAAATAATTACAATAAAATATATAATTGAGGTCTTACGATATTTTGAAATATACCGCAGCGGACTGGCGGATAATAAGAGGCTGACTTTGTTCTGGAAGCTAAAATCGTTTTAGAATTTTAGTGGCAACACGTTGATCTAAGCAAAGCCGGCTGGCAACCTTCTCATGTGTTGTCACTGACTTTGGCAACGCTATTATACTTGCATACGGTATTCATTAGCTATAACCAAATAAAAACCCATCCATATTCAATTATCGTCTTATCTGTTTTTAATTTTTTCTTCATTATAAAGATATTAAGATATAAATTTGAAGTCTGCTGTCTATTTATTAATTGTTGAGTGTGTGAGAATATCATGCATCTAAGTGTGAACGGGGAGAAGAAGAATATATCAATACCTTGCAAACCGGAATCGACCCGATGACATTTCATTATAAATTTAAAAAGCCAGCCGATTGTTCCTATGGAAACTATATGATTATAGTCTGATTTTAATGCAATTTTCTTACGTTTATACACATTATTATTGTTGGAATATGCATGCATCGCGACATGCTAGATCTATTGTGCCTTTTCTGAGCCCATAGCTCTTCCATCATTCCCAGTTCTTGCACGAAAGCAAGAATCTTTGTTGGGTTAATTGTTATCATGTATTTAGAGCTCAAAGCATGCCTCCCAAGGATACTAAATCATTTCCTAGTTAAGGCGGTACCATCTGCTGGGATGTGGCTTCCTCGTTTTCATAAAACCGGCATAGTTTGCTCATATAAATACACAATTTGGATAGATGAATTCTTAGTCTACAATGTCCTGTCAATTGACCGGTGAGTATCCTAAGTCTATTCTTCCCAATGGTTATTTCGCTTATTATTATAGCCATTCAGAAGACATTTGGCTTGACGGAGGCCTGGTGGCTCTGTCTAGCACTTTTGTCGCCTCTGCCTTTCTTCGTTCCTGAGTTGCAGTCGTACTGTGTGTCAAAAACAAATAGGTTTCTGCTCCTGTTAGGAGCCTCTCTGCCCCCATTTGCGCTTGTTCATCGGCCGCTACATTCCCTGCTATATCCATATGACCCGGAATCCCATCTTGGCGTAAGCCTATTGTGGTCCAGCTTGGACCTCACGAACTACTCCTGACGTTATCTTCGTCCATAATGAGTTATAGGTATAAATATAAATTTATTATTTTTAGTTCATCAAATTTTAAAGCTATTATAATAATTTTCACTCCAATATTATTTTAAATTCATTAAGATTTATTCATGTTACCAGTACGAAATTTTTAAAATACAATTATAAAAGCAAAACATTATTTTTATTTATATGAAAAAAATCTTTGAACATTACGATGAATTCTGATCAGAAATTGTGTTTCCAAATTTCAATGCCGTTTTAGAAAATTTGTTTGGTATTCATAAAGTTTACAAATTGAATTTTGTTTTTGTGTACTTTCTAGTGAAACTAATAACTTTATGCGTCTGTAAATCCATAGAAACAAGAAAAGATGTTCTTTACATTCGACTGTTTTCATTTTGATTTTCGTTTTCAATTTTAATTTGGTTTATTTACGTTTAGCAGTAATGAGATTTATCAATAATGCTTTGGCGGACACATGGACAAACAGACATCCCTAAGATTGGATGGCCATATCCGTGTTCCGATAGATACGTTTCAGGTTGAAATCCGCAAATCTCCCCATTGCACAACTCAGGTTGAAATATGCCGTTGTGCCTCTTCAGGGATTCATAGTAGGATACCCGAGGGCCCCCCTTCTTGACCTGTGCCCTGATTGGTGAGTGATCCATCGGTGTACCATTTTATGCTGTGCGATTTCATCCAGTATCGTCCATTACCAACCTCCGTACACCAGTCACCCGTTATTTTCAGCCGTAATTGAACTATGTCGCAAAGCGATTCTTCAAATTTACCTTGTGCTATGATAACAATGTCATCGGCATATCTCTAACATTGAATATCCATATTAAGACCAAGGTCAACAGACCTTGAATATTTTGAAAAGCTATATAAATTGTTGATTTGAACGACATATATTCGATTATAATCATGGTTTGGTTAACAAGAACTCGTTCTCTAAATTTAAAGTACCCAACTGTTATAGACATAAAATCTGACGGATAGACGGACATGGCTACCTCGCCACTGCCGTTATTGCCGATCAAGAATATATAGACTGTTTGGGAACATAAGTTCTTTCGTTGGCTGTTACACACTTTTCCAGAACTCCATTATACCCCTTCTAATCATTTTAATGAACTCTCACGCAAATTTAAGTTCATTTGGTGTATGATTAAATCCAATGCACTTTGAATTCTATTGAAATGAATAAGTTGTTTATTGCGGACTTAAAAAGTACAAACTTTGTAAAACGTAAAAAGTTTATAATGTAAAGAATATAAATTTGTAACTAAATTTAAGGTTACAAATGAAATAATTTAATAAATTAAAATTTGGAATCAAAGAATAAAATAAAGGATATAATAAAAGGGGGTTATTAAAATACTGGGATTTAACAAAAGAGCTATTAAAATGATTTTTGATATACTACATATATTTTACACACCATCCGCGATCCGATTCGTGTACATCGCGTATACGTAACTGCCAAATGCGATGCTCCGTGTGAGTGATGGCAATGCGATGGTTCTTGGTAATGACATGGTTCTGTATGCTTAATATGGTCTGGGTGTCCACACGCAGCCAGGCCACCTTGTAGCTGACGAGATCATGAACGATGCAGGTGAGGAGAGCATCGCGTCCCACGGGCACCGTTACATTGCTGATGGGGCCACTGAATTTGGGATCCGCTAGAAGTAGAAGTAGAAGGTTGGTCGTTTAGCAAGTGGTTGACATTTACGATGTTGCCCATTATTATGTTAAATGGTGCAAGCATAACGAAGGGATGCAGAAGTGGAGTGAGAGGGATGTTTGTGCTTGTGATGCTTACAAATGCTACAATTTGGCATTTGGTAATCGCATGAAAAGGTGTCAGGTTATTTTCATAAATGATTCAATTTCTAAAAATATTTCAAATTGTTTATTCAGCAATATACGAAAATTTAATTCATCCTTATCAAATTTTCCAGATTAAAATTTACTCAACGAACACATTTTTTCTGGTCGCCATTTGTCATTTGTAATCCACAATTAAGTGCGATAATTATTTTGTACATTTGAGCGAGCGTCTGCAAAATGTCAAATGCCCAACTTCAATGGAAATGCTCTAAACTTTGCCAGATGCCCAGATGCTGAGCTAGGCAAAGTGTTTGTTGTTGCGTTTTTTCACGCTCATAAATTTTATTGTGTAAACAAATAATCTTATAATTAGGTAAATTAGCTGTCTGTTAGGGTGACCCGTAGACCCAGGAAGCCATAATCCAAAGGCCATTGAAGGATAAGCTGCTTACAAAATTTCTAACTCTTTATGAACTTGAAAGTTTATCTGAATATTTTTTTTTTAAATGCAGAGATTTATGACGCCTTCAAATGGCAACTGCTTAATAAGCATATTTGCGATTTTTTTTTAGGAAACTATATTAACTTAATATGGATGTCACTTAACCTACTATTGAGTTATCGATTTTAGAATTGTAATCTGTATGGTTCAAATCAGAATTTTAGAAAATCGCCATTCTTTTGGCCCGAACGTATATTTCTAACACGGAAAGTTGGGTCTTTTCTTTTCTTGATTCCAAGGTGAATTCTACGATTTTTTTTTTAAATATAACTAATTTCCAGAGTGTCTTATATATGGCTGCACAAAATTCGAACATCAGCTTTTAATACTTTGATACCGAAGGTATCATAGTATATTAGTTTTGTGCAATGTCTGCCGTACTGTCTGTCTGTCTGTCCTTTTGTCTGTTTATATGAACACAATTGCTTTCGACACCCTTGAAACTTGGAACATATAGTGGTCTGTGCCCGCGTCAGGCAAAGTGTAAGAATTGGAGTGCTACGTCCATCAGGGGGCTAGGAAATTGATAAAAATCGATATTGTAACTTGCCGGTGTAAGTATATATCGGTGTAAGTAAGTATCGGCATATACATTTTTAGAGCACGCCCACACCCGCCGCGCCACGAAATCTGAAATGCGTATAATATACAAATATCAATTTGTATGCTAAATTCTTCAAATTCTATAGAAAATTGGATAGTCACGCCCACTCCGCCTCCCTAAACCGAAATACCTGAAATCGATAACACAATATATCTCACACTAGTTGAAAGCTAGAGTCACCCAGTCTAAAAGGTATATTGCTAGTGACACCCTTCAAAAATCCGAGAAAACAAATTTTTGCGACACGCCCACTCCCCGCCTCCAAAAACTATAAAAGCCTGTATCTTCCGTAATTTACCAATTACCGAACTTCGAAAAAACGACACTTGCTTATATCTATCGCAATTTGAACGGCAAACTTGGACAGTACACCCACCCTATTCTTTGCTCCCTGTTATTAGCTGGTATAACGTATGGTATCAAAGTATTTCGCAGTCGGTTGCGTCCGACTGCAAGGTTATCTCTTGTTAGTTTCTGAGATCATCATTAAGTTGTAGTCCATCAAGATTTCACATATACAAACATTTTATATAGTATCGAAACGTTAAGTGATACATGGCCGTTAACTGCTAAACTTTAAGAAAGCAGTCAAAGGAGCAAATTTAATTAAAATTCCGACATTTGGAAAAGGATATTTTTTCCTAAGATAGAACTTTGCATATCTAGTTTTTAGAAATATTTTCTATTATTAACAAGTAAGAGTGATGTAGTCGAGTGAGCTCGACTGCGATATACCCTGAACCACCCAGTTGCTAAATATATTCTAGTTGTATTGCAAAATTTACCTTTGAAAGTTTTGCACCAAATTGTGAGCAGATCTGCAAGTGCGCTCTGCCGACAAACACAAACATATATATATATATATATTCGTATATACGTAAACGCAATCGTAACGTGGGTCTGCAGAATACGCACAAAGACATATTGACGCTCGCGTCGATTATCATGGCATCTCTTTCTCACACATGAGCTGGCATATATTTATGCGTACAGAAAATGCTTGCGGCTACTGATAGAAATGAGATCAATATGAGAATATATTTTCGACTATAATTTGGGTGTTTCTTATCCGATCTTGATGAAATCGATGAGACAGTTGATCAATAATATATTCTGTATAAATTAGAGGATTCTGCCTTTAAATTTGTGGCATTTATTGCTATCGGAAATTAAATGTATTTGATTTAATCGATAAAACAAAGCTAACTTGATCTGCGCCGGGTATAAGAGAACCCATAATCCAAAATTGAAGTCTCTAGGTCTTATTGTCTCTGAGATCTGCGTGTTCATACGGACAGACGGACATGGCTATATCGACTCGGCTGTTGACCCAGATCAAGAATATATGTACTTACAGGGGTCGGAGATGCTTCCTTCTGCCTGTTACATACATTTGCACGAAACCATTATACTCTTTTTACCCATTTTTAATGGGTTCAGGGTATAAAAAATACATCTCTGAAATATGGAAAATATACCTTTCTTCAAAATTGAAAATCACGCCTGTTGAACAGGCAATTTTAGTTTGAGTACAGTTTAGTTAAAAATGTATTTTATTAATTTTGAAATAAAAATTATAGATTTAAATGATATCCATATGGATTTTATAATTGACTATTAATATGCATATCCAATTTATATTTTATTTTTGTCACTTTAAAAAAAAATATATATTTATTAATATTTAAATTAATATTAATCTTTACTATTTAAATATTAATACATGAAGAACAATTATTTATTGTATTCTAGTTTTCAAAAATTGCTCCCATTCAAATTGCACGCAATTTACATTCAATTCCAAGAAACCAATTTATATGTAATAGAAAGTTAAGAACGTCAAGTTTATGCAACTTTGGCGTCGCTATTTGACACTAACTGATAATTTAAGGGTAGACACCCCACCCATCCCACATTGAACTCGTTAGTGGGGTTGCTGAACACTGGCGTCAACTTGTCGGCCATAATGGGAAACCATCACGCCCCCAAAAAGGCGAACCGTACAAAATCACATCACATGCCTAACAAGTAGCATGATTTTGCGGCTCGCCGGCGCTCCACACAGCAAATACCTAAATTACAATTATGACCAAATAATAACCCGAAAAAATGCAAAAAATAAAAATAAAAACAGAAAGAGGCAGAGAGCAAAGTCTCCTTGCAGTAACTAGAAAAATGCAAAAAGGCGGTAAATGTGCGCGTTACCTTTTTATTTGTCCATTGTGCAGTGTGTGTTTGTGTGTGTGTGTGGTTGTTTTGCCAACTAGCTTCAAGGGAGCCTATGCCATGCTATATAACCTATAATTTGCGATTATGTTTGGGTTCGGGACAAACGGCGTTCGGCTCGGCCACAACTGTTCAACTGGAGGCCAAAGACGGCCTTTGTTTGGACTGTTTCGGTTTTGTAGGTATTGCAATTTGGCCATTGCATGTTTGCGTATTGAAACATTCCACCGTCTAAACAGCTTTTTACCAATACATTCATTCCCTTCGCATATGGTATGTCTGGCGGCCAACTTAACGGCTAGAAGTTGGCTGATTACTAAATGTTTTGTTGGTTTGCATTTTGGGGCCAAATAATGAAAGACGGAAAATAAAAATAAAAATAGTTTATGCTTAAGTTAAAAGGTTTTCTATATTCCTGGGCTGTGGATCAATATCAATGACAATATTGATTGTGCTTTTATTCATTTTAGAGATAAATAAATGAGTATACATAAAAGTTTTATTTCACATTCACAAAATAAATGAATAAGAAAATATAAAATAAATAAATATAAATATAAATATATATATAACAGTTTAAAATAACGAAAAACAAGGAAACTATATAAAAAATCCGTTGATAGTATTTAAGAAGCATTATTTATAGTAGAAAAGCCACACTCGTTCGACTTTGGGCTTACAATGCAATGAGAAATAATAAAATGCAGTTGCGAAAGTGAGCAACATTTCGGCTGCATTTATAAAACTTCAGAAATCTGTGAATTGTTAAAGTAAAATAGAATTGAGGCTAAAATTACCAATAATTTTATTTCACTTCGAAGTTTTTAATGATGTACGCTTCTAGATTCATATATTCTCAAAAAAAGAATAAACCTTTGTAAATGTTCAATAGGACGTTGGTGAAACATAGAGGATAATCGTAGTAATAAGTTATTGGTACAAATAAATATATATTTAAAGCTCACTATACTGCAAAGCTAGTATAATAATTTTCATTCCAATAATATTATTAATTTAGATTTATTCATATTACCAATACGACATTTTTAAAATACAATAATAATAGGAAACATTATTTTTATTTATTATGACACAATTGTTGAACATTACGATTAATTCTGAACAAAAATGGTGTTTCCAAATTTCAATACCGTTTTAGAAAAATGATTGGTATTTGTAAATTTTACTAGTTGAATTTATACGCTTTTGTAAAGCAAAAGAAACAAGAAAATATATCCTTTACATTCTAGTTATTTACATCTCCAGTACGATGACTGTTTTCATTTTGATTTTCGCTTTCAATTTTAATTTGGTTTATTTGCGTTCAGCAGTTGTGCGATTTATCAAGAATGCCTCGGCGGGCACATGGACAAACAGACACCGCAGGTGTCTTTGCTGAATCCAACTAGTAGTAGTAGCTGTTGCCAAGGTTTTAGTCTGCACGCCTCTCACTCCGATGAACTTGAAACGGAAAGTGAATGTCCTGTCTGTTAGACACTTCAACTGTCTGCCATTTGGCGAAATGCCTGCAAGGAAATACGTCAGCACGCAATGTCTGCCAAAACGCTGCAGTTGGTCGCACTACTACCACTTACACCTCGGTACACCTCGTTCCAAAATTCAGAAACGAAAACAAAAATATGGGACTGAAAAACGCCAGCGTGCTATGGGAAGTTAACATAAAAAAACAAGTCCGATTACTCTAGTCGACAGTGCTCGACTAGATGTTATTTATATTAAATTTATAAAAAAAAAACTTTTAAAATTGTGGTTTTCATTACCTTCGGAAATGGATACCGATCGATATTTGTGAAGTTATCGATTACATTTAATAATACATGTTTATTCTAAAATGGAAGTCTATAGCTCTTAAAGTCTGTGAGATCTGTTTGCTCATACAGACGGACAGAGACATGGCTAAATTGATTCGGTCGCGTAATCCAGAATATATGAACGTTATCAAGAATATATGAACTTCATGGGGTCCAAGATGCTTCCTTTTGCTTTTTACACACAATTGTCCACAAAGCTATTATTCCCGTAATGTTTATTTTCCAGGGTATAAAAACGTCGCTTCCGCTTTGTATGTCTGCGGGGGGTAGTACCGGTCAGAACCTCCTCTATAGCTTTGTCATCGGTCGTCGGCGAGCCTGCCAATATTTTCCATGTTTATTTGCATTTGGAATTCTTGACACATTGATTTGGGCAACAATTTCTGATATATATTTATCAACACTTGGCATCCTAAGTAAAATTGCATTGTTTTTGTTTTTATGTTGTGGCTCAAAGTTTTGGTTTTACTTTATTATTTTTGTTTTGATTTGCGGCCATATTTTTGAGCAGGGTTACGGCAGGGCCGGCAAACGGAAGTCGCTCGTCGTTGCTGTTGGTGTTTCTCTGCCTACGATACATTTTGGCCACAGTTTATTCACTTAGGGAACCGTTGGACTTCCGCTTGTTAGTACCGTCAGCAGTGTGTTGTTAGTTTGTTTTTTTTGTATTTTTATTTTTAGTACGGTGTTCGTTATCATTTTTGGTAGCTTGTGCAATGCACTCAATTAGTTGAACAGCTTACTATATGCAAACATATACAGATATACTTTTTTGCCTCTGTGATAGTTATTTACAGTATTATAGGTGTTGTGCATAGCGTTTATTGGTCTTAGGTGGCGGAATCTAGAGGCTTCAAGTAAAAGTTGCCAGTCTTTTTTTTGTGATTTTAGTTTTTTGTTAATAAAATTATATTTTAAAGATGTCGAATTGATTATGTGAATAAAAATGAATATTTATAAATTATTATTAATATTATTGGAATGAAAATCATTTTATTAGTTTTTGATTGTTATTATTAGAAATATATCCATTTATACCTTGAACCTGCTAACCCGAACCTACTCTATGCTTACAGGTGAATAAAGAGGTACATTTTTCAATTTATTATTTAAAAAATAATAATAGTACATATAACTCCTTTCCCTCTATGTGCCTATATTTTAAATAGAATTGGCAACAGTACAAAGTACTCGTTTTTCTCCATTGTTTTGCAGGACACCGCAAAAGAATTCTCACAAGTTTTCCGAACAAGATCCAGAAATAATAAAACCTACAAAGCCATCAATGATATAAATAAGACTTTTCCATTTAATTAATTTTAAGAAATGGGAAAAAATTGAACATATCTGTTTAACCCGTTATCCGACTTTGAGTGTAGATTTTTGAGAATCATAAAGTTCAGCACATTTTGTAAACTATTTTACAGATTTTACATTTCATATACATATGTTTATTTAGTATAACATATTATCATTGTTTTTGAAATGACCTCAGGACAACAAGCCTTGATCGATAGAAAAATTATCGAATCCTTTTTTTTCAGCATATTGTTTAACAATATTTTTATATTTATATTTTTAACTTACTATTGAAATCTGCTACGTTTCAATAGTCACATTATTTAATATCTATTTTTTGGTTACTAAATTAAATTGGATATTTTTTAAACAATATCATCTTTTTGAATGTTTTTCAGATACTAATTATATCACTATTGACATCGCTTCAAGTGCAACTTACAATTATTCAATTCTGAGAAGCTTGCACTGCCTGACCACACAAATTGCAGTATTAACAAGATGTGAACGTAGCCTTTTTTCATTTTCCACGCTGGCTGGCTTTCACATTAGCCAACAGCAAGCTGAAGTGCGAGCTGTGTGGAGAAAACTTTCTTTATTTTTGCCACTTTCACTGCCAAAGAGTTTCCGCTGCACTAACGTGAATTTATATTTTCCGCTTTTCGCCAAAAAGTTGTGTCTTTCCGATTGCCCCGACGCGTCTGCACACAGTTACAACTGGCCGAGAACTGCGAACGCCGCTGATAATCAAGTGTCAAAATTCATATTCAAAATTCAAATGTTGCCAGGCGCTGACTCCGACTGCGACACCAACTCAAACCCTGATTCTGACTCTGTCTGCGGCACTCGCAGCGCTGGCGCTGCGCATGTGTCCTGTATACTGCCAAGTGGCGCCACAGGCGGCGGTGGTTGCTCTTGCTTGTGGTGGTGGTGGCAACGGCCTGAAGCCGACGCTGGGCAGTCGCCAAGGTGCTGCCGCTGACTGTTGCTAATTCTGCTGGTGGTACTGTCATTTCTATGGGGCTGGCTAGAATCTATAAAATAGTAAATGTTTCATTCATCAACTGTAGTGAGTAAAATATTTATATGTGAACGAATGTCGCTGTAGTTGTTACTACTGTTACATTGCTAGTATATTCTTTGATTTTAGGGTGGGTATTGTAATTGCTAATCTCAAGTCAATAACAGACAATTTTATTAAAAACATGTGTCAACTTTAAATAATGATTATTCTACACCTAAATGCCATTGGGAACGAACTTTTGGAAAACGATATGCAGCAAAGTTCAGAAAATAGTCTTATATTTAAGATCGATCTGAAAAAAAGATAACATTTAAGACTAAAAAATGATAACGAAAGGCAATCTTGGGCACATCGAGGATTACATTCTTATTTGTTTCATTTCTTAATGTGGACTAAAGGGTTTAATATTAAATTTAAAATTAAAGTTGCAAGCTAAAATATTTAAATTAAATGGGAGTAATTAGAATAAAAGTTTACAAAAAAATTAATTTAAAGCATTTAAACTTTAGTCAGACTCTCAAAATATTATGATGTTGATGTACGACTTAAACAAATATTATTAATTTGTTTAACAACTGGCTGTGAACTAAATATTTCAAATAGTTGTAGTTATATAGTATTAAAAAGTACGATATATGTATAAGTTTATAGATGCTTTAATGCCAAGCCTTTTATATACATTTTTCCTATTAGACATATGTTGATTTTTTAGCTAAATGATTTGAGCATAATAACACGCTTATTTTGTGAGATTGGTGTAAAAATAATGATTTTTTTGTATGCCTCCCCATCCATTACAAATGACGGTACACATTTAATTACCACAACATTATTATACCCTCTTCTGGGGTATATCAAGTTAGCCGAGGACTTCCAATTGATTTAATAACATATTTAATTCTGAGTGTAAAAGAGTATCAAATAACAACGAAAACTCATTTTAAAATACTGAAGAATTCAGTTGAGGAAAATTATTAAAATTAATTTAATACAAAAATAAATTAGAATTTATTAAATTCGTATGGCAAATAATGTTAAAGATATAGAGTAATTACCTGCATTTGTAATATTATTTTAATACAATTTAATTAATTATTTATTGCGAAATACATTTAGTTTTAGGTAATTATTTGCCAAACGAATTGAATTTTGTATTCAATTTAATAATTATTCAATTTGAGAAATCTGTATTAAAAGAGCAATTGACTATGTGCATAAAGTAGTTTTGACCCATGGGGTCATAACAATGTGCATAAGGTATAGGTCTTTATAAAAATAAATTATTAAAATTAAAATTAAATGTAATAAAAGTATAGAATAGTATAATATAATATTTTCAATTTTATTTAAAGTTTAATTTTTTAATAATCAAAGCAGTATGCATTTTTATAGTGGGTGTTTTAGAGTCGTGTTGCTGATTTTTGTACATTTCATTTTGATTTGGTTGCAACTGTTAGCTTTTGCCACCTGGCAACAAGCAGCCCGGCCAAATGCTTTGGCAACTCTCCCTTTCGAAGAACGCCATTTTGCTGTCTAATTAAGAACCGAATGCCACACATATTCGCATGTGATTTAAATCACAGCTTTTGTTTACTCATAGCTTTTACTTTTATGCAATATTCGCACTTTTGCCGTGTTTCATGTGTGACCGGCAAGATGCGCTAAGTATGCTTTATTATTTGCGCATAATTAGCGTATTTCGATAAGAATAAGTGTAATTGCGAAGTTCCTGGGGAAATGTTCGAGTTTCTGCTTTTATTGCAATAAACAAGTTCGTGGGAAAACTTTGGAGAAAATTTGTTGATGATGTGAATTGTTTTAGTTGAAGTGAATTTTTAAAACATATAAAACCGATTTAATAAATCATGTGAAATATATCACATTTTACAAAAGAGGTAAAAGTAAAAATGTTGGGAAAAACTTTTGAGCTCGCAAATTATTAGTCATTAATAAAGTGTGGATTGTTTCAAAGAAAAATAATAACATGAATATTAAGAAAATATAGCCTTAAAGTGAAGGTTTGCTGCGCTTTTTTTTAAAGATGTTTTATGTTCTTAAAACGTGTAAGCATAAATCGTCAGTGTGGTATGTTCTTTTTGGTTATTTTTGGTGTTTAGATTTATGTGTGTTAATTATACTGCATTGGTCAGTCTTATATATTTAGAAAGAGGTGAAATTTACTTAGCACGTACATTTACAAAGCTTTTCACCAAGCATGAGTGCTAAAAGCTTTTTGTCTCTTATCAAAGTTTTCAAACTAGTTGGGAACTTTAAAAAAGTATATATCGTATTACATTCACAAAACCGATGAGTGATTGACTAAAATTAGGAAAAAATTCAAAAACTTTTCAATTTTATTTACCCATGCTTTTAACATTATTTCTTTAAAAATTAAAAAGTATAAATGTAAAAATTTTTTTTAAAATCATCCCAATTGAAATAAAACAATCTGTCAATTATTTTAAAGCTTTTTTTTATCCAGATCCATTTGATGCTTACAATAATAATTGTTTTTAAAAAATTTTATTGTTGAATTTAAGTAATATACAGCATGAATTATTCGCATGTTATTGTGAAGCCTTAAGCATCTAGTCATTTAATTAATAATGAAATGAGCACACACAAGTGGCTTATTTGTTTTAATAAAATTTATTTAATTACGCGATGCTTAATTATGAAAAAAAATTAATGCAAAAGTCTCATTAGAAATTCATGGCAAAACGAGTATCGCACACAAGCAGCCCTTGTAATGAGTGTGAATACACTCGACTTTTGTTGTGTGCACTAGCACTTATTATTGTTGTTGCTGTATTTATTTGCACAATATCAACAATAGTAGTAGCTGTAGCAGTGGCTGTAACAATACAATAAACATTAATGTTTAAGCACAGACAAATAAACATAAACATTTATGTCAATAAAATGAACTGATGCTTGACCTGTTCGGTCAGATAAAATGGTTGTCTGGTTCATGCGAAACGGCAGACAAACACACACAGACACACACACACACACACACACGTATGCACACACAAACATATACACATTGATGGGGACGTGCCAAAAGCTGCTCCATTTTAGTTAATTGCCAGTTCAAGCCTTGACCTGGGCCCATATCCTTTTGCAACATCTTTGTCGAATGCTTTCGAGCGTCTAAATATTTTTAGTCAAAGGCTGCAGCCGCATGCACGACTGACCACTGTCCCCAGCCCCACACGCGTCCCCTGGATGGATCCATGCTCAGCATCAGGTGTTGACCGACTGCCAATTCGATTTGCCAAAACGCCGTCTCTTGTTCCTGTAAATGCCGAACTGATGTGAACTGAACTGTTTCTGATGCTTCTGTTGCTGCTGCTTCTGCTTTTGGGCCTAATTGAGTTTGCATACGGCTTGCTTTGAACAATTAGATTAGCTGTTCTCAACTATGTATGTATTCTAATTGTGTTGTGGTGCAAATTCTATAACAATATGTCGGATCTTTTAGAAAAGCAAGGCAAGCTGAGCATTTTCCAAACTTAAAATGTTGTTTAATAAATGTTTTTTTCAAGAGGTTGTCACTTCTCGCCCTAACCAAAGCTATAAAGTTTTGCATTAAGACTTGAATATATTTATGTTGTAATTATTTTTTTTTTACATGGTCAAGTATAATTTGGCTATAGACTTACTTTTAAATAATCACATACTCAAAAAATATATTTGATTTGCTTAAAAATTCAATTTGACAACGTGGCTCACTTTTGTTTAATTGCAACTGCAAAATTAGGCTTAACATTTGCGCCAATTATATTTATTTCAATTGAGGATTCATTTTTCTCTTTCATTGCATAAAAAATATTGGGTATTTCACATTTGCCTTAAATATGTCTTCATAAGCATTTGTTGATCGAATAAAAACTATTTCACACTGAAAAAAAAAGTTCATAATAATATACTTTCATTTGTTTGTTTTCAGAAAGCACAAAAAGTTAGTGGTTCCTTGTGAAAAAACTTAGTTTAAATTAAATTAATTTGTGTTTGTCTCTGTTCAACAACGCGGTTGCTACTTACACGCGATGTCCATCAAAAATTAGTAAAACAGGGTATGCCTATCTTGTGAGTCTGTATGTAATAAGCAGAATAGGAAGCACATTCTAGGAAGGCAGAAAAGGGTTTCAATGCCTATATAAGAGATAAAGACTTAAAATATTGATTAAGTTTATTTCAATTTGTCTAAAGCGATTGCCATAAGAATAGCAATTTTGATTGAGTTTGGTCTTTATAGAAAAATCTCAAAAGTTCTCAAAATACCTTCAGCAAATGAGTATTGCTTCCACACATACATATAAGAAAAGTTCAATTGTATTCGTATTTTAGATGTTAAGCTCTATATTTGTTGGCCAATAGAGAATTTTTTTTTTTTTTTTTTTTATTTTTTAATATATCTGATAGTGTACGAATTAAGTGCAGGTTGGATTTATAATAGGCTTACAACTGGTTGCGATATGAATGTGTACTAATCTG